CTGGTGAAATCAAATTCATGTCGTTTTGCGAATATTCTTGTGTTTGTACACACTGCCTCGCGTCCAGTCACCAAACAGTTTATGCTCAGAAGTCTGCAAACAGATCTCCATTCTCGTTCATTTCACTGAGTGCTTCTTGACCCATGATTGGTTCTATAGCTGTGTTGTCCGCTCCACGCAGTTTGGCATTCATGTCACCCCACACATTAGAGTTTGATATGTTACCATCTGGAGTGGGGTCTTGTCCAGTACTGATTGCAGCTATCTGTAGAATTCCTCCTTCTTCTCTTCATCTGCATAACTTTCAGGTTCGTAGTGTAGCATTGTATGATTGTGACACTCTTTCCTTTTCAGTTGAACCTTGTCATGATCCTGCAGGAGGAGATTGGTTCCCACTGCATGACAGCCTTTGATGTTCTTGAGGATATCATGATGGCCACTCGAAAACTCAGTTTGCTCGTTCGTAGTTGTCGTCTGGGTGACAGTGTCGGAGTAGACTATTACCTATTCAGTTGACAGTTGGGAGAGTCCACTTCCATTCCATCTGCTTTCGCAAATCCCTAGCACTTCTATGCTATAACTTCTCATCTGTCGGGCAATCTGGGTTGCCTTTATACGATATCTGACTGATAATAATTGATTTCTGTTTCACGACAGAGTGTGATTTAAGAAGTAATGTAGAATACGATTTCAGTCATGCTGATCCTCAGTGACTGAGAAGATCTAGTCTGAATATTAATTTAAAACGACAAAACCCTCATCTGTTTGACGGTGATCGATGACTCTACTACTAGCCATGATCGGAAACTACTAAAATGTAATAACTTTATATGAATTAAGGACTTTCATTATAGGTCTTTTATATATACTGACTCCTGGATCAAGTGGTGAACCAACACTACCATGAATGACCATTTATGTATTTATATACAAATGGTATTTACTGAACTGCCTAGTTATTACAGAGTATTTTGATCAACATTAAAGAACAGATATTGCCAACAGTGATTTACATTTTCACACAAAAACTTACTAGAAGGAAAGTAAATTAACTTTTCTTGTGAATGATAGTTAATAGGTGTAAACTCCTCCATCCTAGTCTAAATGATGAGTCGGTATGGAATTAGAAGTGTTATTTAAATCCATGAAGAATCTATGCATTGTAGGATGAATTAACCTATTTTAAATAGATTAAAAACGAGTGTTTACACATAACGATAAAACTTTTGGGCTTTAATAATATCTCCACTCCATGATCATATAAATGGTCAGAAATTTATTCTGGACTGTTATGCTAAAACTCTAAGATGTTTACATAACAACGGAGAAATAATTATAAATCCACAAACTTTATCAGATATTAGTGAAAAAAACTTGGAGATCCTTCATTACAGCGTCTTCCAGAGATGGTACGAGACGTGAATTAAATGAATCACTTATTATGAAAGAAACCTTGATAAATCTTTTTCCTACATCCAATACAAACAATCAATACCCAGCACTAAAAACAGAGATCAGTGGATGAAAAACAATTATTTAATTTTTGAAATAAAACACATACCAATTAATTTTGGGGGAGATGTGGGAATTTGGAAATATTTCAAGTTGTTATTCATCGTAGACTGACATCAGTAGGAGGGACAAAGGAAACCTGGTAGCACTGGACAGTTGTTTCGTTTTAGTATGGGGCTCCTCAGCAGTGCGCACCCACGACCCCGCCAGCCAAGGATCGAACGCTCAACCTTCAGGTTCCGTAGCCAGAACGTTACCATTGAGTCACTGGATCAGAATCTAGTGGTCCATATTTCCAACTTCTGTTTGCTCACGATATAGTGCAACCGCCAGCTAATGTCATCGTTGAGTAACTATCCTCACGACCACCAGGCTTTGTCCCCACCAGTCACGACTTCTCATGGAGTGGAGATATTATTAAAGCCCAAAAGTTTTATCGTTATGTGTAAACACTCGTTTTTAATCTATTTAAAATAGGTTAATTCATCCTACAATGCATAGATTCTTCATGGATTTAAATAACACTTCTAATTCCATACCGACTCATCATTTAGACTAGGATGGAGGAGTTTACACCTATTAACTATCATTCACAAGAAAAGTTAATTTACTTTCCTTCTAGTAAGTTTTTGTGTGAAAATGTAAATCACTGTTGGCAATATCTGTTCTTTAATGTTGATCAAAATACTCTGTAATAACTAGGCAGTTCAGTAAATACCATTTGTATATAAATACATAAATGGTCATTCATGGTAGTGTTGGTTCACCACTTGATCCAGGAGTCAGTATATATAAAAGACCTATAATGAAAGTCCTTAATTCATATAAAGTTATTACATTTTAGTAGTTTCCGATCATGGCTAGTAGTAGAGTCATCGATCACCGTCAAACAGATGAGGGTTTTGTCGTTTTAAATTAATATTCAGACTAGATCTTCTCAGTCACTGAGGATCAGCATGACTGAAATCGTATTCTACATTACTTCTTAAATCACACTCTGTCGTGAAACAGAAATCAATTATTATCAGTCAGATATCGTATAAAGGCAACCCAGATTGCCCGACAGATGAGAAGTTATAGCATAGAACTGATGTCAGTCTACGATGAATAACAACTTGAAACATCAATTAGTCTCATTTTCAAAGTGAATTTTAAAAGTTTGATTTTAGTAGATGAGTACTTCCTCCTATTTTTGCCATTGATTTCTCATTAAAATGAAAAAACTATATGCATTTACCATCTTCTTTTCTGAAAAATATTCTTTCAAATTTACAGTATGCACTTATACAGCTAAATAACACGTTTACAATGCATAATAAATAATAGTTATGCAACACGGCCACTAAAGTTATAATAATGAAAAATACAGTCTTCAGTTAATAAACGATAAGGTTCCCACAACGAGGCATAAAGCAACGATTCCCGGGTTGCAGGAAGATTTGTCAGAAGTTCAACAATGTTATACCTTAAAATAACTTATGAATTAATTGCTTCTTAAATACTATGTTTAGCTGAAATTTTTTTGATCAAATTTTTTATCTTCCTTTCTTTAATGTGTCATAACATAAACTTTTTGATATGCATTTTAACAAAATCATCACCCAGTATAAAGTTACTATACTCACAAATGTGAATATGATCACTGCGAAAATGAACCAACTTAATTTTAAGTTCCTTTGTATTCTTGAAAAAATATGGGTTACGTAATATCGTAAGTCTAGTAATCATTTAAATAGAAAATATCTATTTGAAAATACCAGTGCTTTAAAATATTCCACTTTAACAGTTCCTATAGAAATTTAATGTGTACTTATTTATCCCTATATATTATGACTTGATTGGTGTCGACTGATATATATATATATATATATATATATATATATATATACGAATGTTTAAAAGCTTTGTAGTAACAGTATTTTGTCGAATCATGAAATTCATATCTATTGAAATCTGTTTCTAATATCGTGTAAGTACATTTCACATAAAATTCATCCTATATCCTTTTGTTTATTATCAGTGACTAATGGAAAAGAAAAGTGAAATTAATTTTTACTAAGATTTTCAAATTCATCAGAACACTAACATATTTCATTGGTTTATTATCTTTAGGTCACAAATGTATAATAAAATCAGCAGACAAAAGCACTATTATCAATAGTATAATTGTTTTTATATCATACCGTCGTCCACTGGACCAAATTGATCGGTCTCTATTGGCATATGGGCTCCTGTACAGATGCCTCAATATCGCCTGTGTTCAAATTATATTAATGATGGCTACCGTTGCTCGGTGGTGTAGTGGATAACGCCGTAGCGTTTGAAGCGATCGCTCCGGAATTCGATTGCCGGGGAGAACAACACTCACTAGGAAGCAGGTACATCCAGCTGACGAGTCCCAAATAGGACGAAATGCGCACGATCCATCATTAACACTATTATCAATGTCTTGTAACTGCTTCTGACCTTTAGTAAAGGCAACTAATGCTCAAAATTGATATTTACATGGTTGCTGCTTAAAGTTCCAGTTTCGACGGGTCAATTTATTTTAATTATAATATTATTATTAACGTAATGGACTTTTTCTAGTTACATTGCTTGGATTCCAAATTTATTAATAAAGTTTGTTATGTTAATTGAAGACAAGCGTAATATAAAGAAAAATGTACTGCAAAGGAAAAATGCTGAATAAACAAACTTCTTGACTGATATAGCATCGTAAATTATCTTCTAATTATATATCTATCTTTCATCATTATCTTCATTCAAGGCGTTCGCTGATCATAATTTGTTCTTACTGCTATGATCAGGTTAACCATTATCACTAGATACTGTATAACCTAGTTAAATCTCTGAAATTTAGTAACTTCTAGTCTCAAAAACAATGAAAGCTTCAGTTCAACTGAACAGTGGTCTTGCCCACTTTTTAAATAACGCAACTGAAGCAATTTAGCAATAGTCTAGTAAACGACGAAAATGCACAAGCTATAGCATCAGAACTATACTATACCCATTGTATAAGAAGTAACTATCGTGACTCATTGGTCTAGGGGGTAACGCTCTGACGTTTGAAGCGATTGGTCTTGGGTTAGACCATAATGCGGCTAACATCATTTACTGGGGTTCAGGTACCTCTAGATAACGAGTCACAAATAGGACGAAACACGCGCCACAATCCATTATTGACGTCAAAATTAGGGAAAATGTTTATTTTCCTACTACCACAATGAAGTAGTATTTACGTCTCTTGTGCAGGCCATTTGTTGAAAATGCCTTGCATAATTTTAAGGAACCTGGTTTTGTTCAAGAATTACTTAACACGAAAGTTGATACAATGAGTGATAATCCTTATTTATAGAAATAAATGGAATGACTGAACAAGGTTATATCTGAACCACCACTTTGTCGATACTCTAAGGATAAAGGAATGAAATTAAATCACTAGATGGTGAAATAATCAAATGCACATGAAAGTGAGATAGTGTTACCGTTTCCATTGACGACGTAATTTGACTGATCATCGACGACTAGGTCTTCTGAGCTGAAAAAGGGAATGATTAATATCAATCAGTTCATTGCCTACTCATAAGTAGGAAAAGTTATAAACAAAATTTATATAAACTATGATCAAAATGTGATCCTATAGTATGGCAAATATTGGTTGATGAGTAAAAGGATGACATTAGATATTGATTGTAATTGTGTAAGTCACAGCGAATTTGAAACCGGATAATTTCAAAGTTTCTCACGGAATTCTGGTTTGAGCTTCTTCGAGGAAATGATCAAAATTAAACTATCAAAAGTTCCAAAAGAAAAAAGATGAATTCAGTAGGGTTTGAAGTGCTTGTTTTAGCAATCAGGTAGAAGATTGAATTATTCTACAACTAGAGATCATCAATAAAAACTTTCTTAGTGGATTTGCTTCTAATGTTAGTCACCTTTTAAGTAACCTCAAACAAAGGTAACTTCGTATACATTTCTCTGTCCTGTTGCATTGAACTATCAGATCATAATTTATGTAAAATAACTTAAAGTTTGATCTCCACTTGCCAACAATAAATTAAAGGTGGTCTATTTTTTCCTTGTACAGCAATGATGTAGTGCAAATCGAATCAGGACAGTCAAGGACTAAAAAGCATTCAGTCATTAATAGTTTTGTTGAATCTGATATATTATGCTAGTATATGAGCAGTAACCATTTAATCCAATGAATCATATGAGTGAGCATCCCGATCTTTTAAAATCAATGTCTGATACTGGTCTAGATACGTTAAAACTAAAAAAGCTGCATTATTCACTCGATAATATCACCCACTGAACTGATAGGAATCATACCGAAAACTATACAAGCTATTTCTTCTTCCAGGATGATAACAGCAAAGTTCAAATCAAAAGAAAGGAAAGTCACAATCATTCAATGCTACGCTACGCACCTACAAATAATGCAGATCAAGAGAAGAAGGAGGAATTCTACAGACAACTGCAATCAACACTAGACAAGACCTCACTCCAGTTGGCGACATCATAGCTCATTCTGATGGGCAACATGAATGCCAAACTGCGTGGAGCGGACAACACACGATGAGAACTAATCATGGGTCAAGAAGCGATAGGTGATAGAACGAAAGAGAGTGTAGAATTCTTTGCAGATTTCTGTGCATTCAACGATCTGGTGATTGGAGGCACTGTATTCAAACACAAGGATATCCACAAAGCGACATGGATTTCACCAGATAAACACACTAAGAATAAGATCGACTTCATCTCAATGTGAAGAAAGTGGAGACGCAGCCTACTTGACACAAGATCAGATGAAGAATGGGAGCAGGTGTAAGTTTAGACCATTATCTAGTGTAAGGAACCTACCTTCAAAATCAAGTTGAAAGCCTTCAATTCAAGGAAGTTGATGATGACAGACCACATTTGAAGTTTAACACCCAGAACAGAAACTGCACTGATGAAGGAAACTATAAAGGATATCTTCACGTCGGTCAGCCATCAAGACAAAATGGGAGATATCGAGGAACATGCCTGAAGAAACCTGTGTGGATGAACACTGGAAGTCTTTGAAAGCTGTGTGGAAAGAAACCTTCACAACCTTAATAGGAGGAAAGGAGAAACAGGACACGGAATGGATGTCGACGGTCAAATGGGGGCTATTAATGGAGGGAGAGGAGGATAGTGATGGTGAAGCAGGAGATGAACCAGTGCAGTGCAGCGATGAACAACGAAAAGAGCAACTGAGTGCAACGTATAAAATGCTGGACAAAGAAGGGAAGAGGAGTGCACGGAAAGACAAAAGACACTTCCACAACACACTGAGAAGTGAAGCAGAACAGGCTGCAGGTAAGAGGGACTTGACAACATTGTATCAAACAACCAGGTTACTACTATCTGGAAGGGGAGAGATCAACACACATGAAACCAACAAAAGATGAAGAAGGGAATATAATTACGAAAGAAGAGAATCAACGGAAACGATGGACTGACCACTTGAGAAAGCTCTCGAATCGACCACCACCACCACCTGCACTTCGTCTACGAATACCACGAGCAGGACAGCCACAGAACTACAAGTGAACACAAACCCTCCAACAAAAGTCGAAGTTCTGATTGTCATAAAACTACTGAAATGCGAGAAAGCAGAACGACTAGATGGAATTCCACCGAAAGCACTGACAGTGGACAGAGAGACAACAGCGGACATGCTCACACCACACCACTATTGCAGAAGGTTTTGAAGGAGTCAAGGAAGGAAATGTACCTGCCAATTGATTGGAAGAAGGTCTACCTTGTCAAACTCCAAAACAAGGGAGACCTATGTCTCTGCATGAACTGGTGCGGAATCACGCTCCTGTCCACCCAGAGCAAACAAAATATTGAGCCACATCATCCTGGAGAGACTAAAGGATGCGTTGGATTCAAAAGTACTACCGGACCAGGGTGGTTGGCTTCATGAAGTACAAATCATGTGCGGATCAAATCGAAACGCTATGCATCATCATAGAACAGATCGTAAAATATCGGTCAATTCAACTCAACCTGAACTTCATCTTTTTTGAAAAGGCTTTCGACAGCATCGACCGACAAGTAATTTGGCAGGCAGCTGCTCCGACACTACGGGTTTAGTGCCACAAATTTCTATCATCCTTGTTCTACAGCTATATGCTATATGGTGCTACATGCCGAGTGATTTACAATGAAAAGCTCAGTGATGGTTTTGAAGTGAAGACAGGAGTAAGACAAGGTTGCCATCTACTATCACCCATGATATTCCTGATTGTGGTTGACTCAACTGGACTGGATCATGCAACAAACAGTGAGGAGCTGTGAGAAGAGGGGGATACGGAGGACTGATGACAAGAGCCTAGTAGATTTAGATTTCGCCGATGACTTGTGTCTGATGTCACACAAACTTGAAGACCTACAGGCGAAAACTAACAAGTTGACAGAAGAGGCGAGGCAAGGCAGCAAAGACAGGACTTCAAGTGAATATAGACAGGACAGAGGTGATGATGTTACACAACCAACAACAAGCTCCAATCACCATGAACGGGAGAAACTTAAAGGAGGTAGCCTCTTTCACCTATCTAGGCAGCACTGTTTCAACTACTGGCGGCACACACGAACACGTCAAAGCCAGTCAGAATCGGAAAAGCAAGACAGGCATTCATTAGCCTGAAACCAGTGTGGAGATCTTCTGCACTCAGCATGTGGAACATGATACGGATTTTCAACACCAACGTCAAGTGAATGCTTTTGTATGTTCTGAGACTTGGCGCCTTACGAAAGTGATTTCCAATAAACTACACACATTCATCAACAACTGCCTACACTGGCTCGTTACTGGAGCTCTGATGGCCAGAATAGTAAGAATAAACAAAAAGGAACTCTGGTTGGGTAACGAACCAACCAAGAATCTATCGCTGAACAAATATGCACTGGAAGGAAGTGGAGATGGATTGGGCACTCACTGAGAAGGCCGACTGGGAACATCATGCGCCAGGCACTCGAGTGGAAGCCAGATGGTAAGCGACGAGTTGGGCGTCCGAGGGTGATATGGAAGAGATCGTGCGAGAAGGAAATGAGAGTTTGTGACAGTCGTGGAGCCAGGTTCGAAAGTGTGCAGAGAACAGAGTGCATTAGAGACGTGTTACTGAAACCCTATGTTCTAATAGGAACCCAAGGGACAAATAAATAAAAATAAATAACAAAATATACGATCAATTACAATGATGACTGAACCTACAATTTCGCAATCCCATAAAGTACCAGTTTCTGATAAGCAGATGGACTAGAAGATATTCTTGACTAGAATTTAATTTTGGCCAGAACTAGCTAAGTGAAAACTACTGAACGTCCTATGATTTTTAGTGTTCCATCATAAGTATCTTGTTGCCAGTCTATATGATCTCGTAAACATGTTCCGCACTAACACAAGCTTGTTAATTTGTTTCTGTTCGTTTTTATTATCACACTGTTATTTCATTGTGAAGTGAGTATATCTTCACCATCTGATATCATTGGCTTATGTACACATAAATCTGTTTCACAGACTTAGAACCGTGATAGACAAAATGTCAGTTATTGAATGCTAATATCCTCTTCAACAAAATAAAGCATCAAAGCAAATGAAGTTTATTCTTTTAGGTTATCTTTTATCTTTGCTATCTCCCTCTTTGTGAGACTCAGATAGAATTGTGGCAATGATTTATTGTTACTGACCTTCAGAATAGCAAAAACAGCGACGATTTAGTCTCACGAAAAAAGTGGCAGATTCTATATTTGACATGCATACATGCGGTCAGTTGACTCGAAAAATGTTTACTGCGTATTATTCAAGATAGCTGAACCCTAACTTCAAAGTACGGTTACTATAAATATAGCATTTTAGATAATATTTTTCAGCAGATTAGTTTTGTCAAATATTAACGAAGAATATTCTTTTGAATAACTTCTCATCAGGCCCTACGTTTATAAAATAAATTTCGTTAACATATCAATAGCCAGAATTTACGGCAAATGCATTTAGGACTGGGTATGGAATTATAATTAAAATCTACCTCTTTAAGATTGCGGATGGTAGCGTAATTTGAATATGTATGTCAATTGTGGTGATAAAGTTGAGTATAAACCTTGTCAATGGATTGGTGTTCAGACGTATGGGGAAGGAAAATTATTAATAAAGTTCAAGGTTACATTGTGTCGAGTGAGTGATTAGTGCAAAGAATGACATGAATTTACGTAAGGGCAGAAATGTAGTGGATATAGTTAATGTGTGAAACAAATGAGATAGTGAGAGTAGTAATAATGTGAAAAAATTTTAACTGCAATTTTAAAGGTTTTTAATAATAAGACAGAAGGAAAGTCTGGTTAGAAAATAGAATTAGTAATATTAATTGCTTTTTTTATTTGAAAAAGAAAGAAAAGAAGAAGGCGGGGAGGAAGAAAAAGATCAAGAAAAAAACAAAAGGGTTAATGGAATGCCGTTTAGTCAATGGAAGACCAAGAGAGGAGTAGGGCCGAAACGTGTTCTTTCTGAATACAAAGTTCAGGCTTCGTTGATTTTATAGCTACAGCTTCCTCTATACGGAGAATGCGTAAACGAATGGCAGAGTTTTCGGAATGCGGTGCATCACAGTGAAAGCTGTGCTAACATCTATTTGAAACTGTAAACTGTATCTGCGAAAAGCTGGTAGAAAGGGAGATAAATACAGGCATCCCTATTGAGAATTAAAGGGAGCTGTTGGTCACGTGCACAATGAATCTTCAATTCTTGTTCAACAGCAAAAACCAATTAGTGGATTTAAAATAGGGATATAATATTACATCGCAAGTCTGTTGTAATCACAAGAAATCCGTCTGCGCACTCTCTTTCTACTTCTCTCTTGCTACAGAAGTATTTTCGAGTTATTCTAATAAAATCTTTACGATATGCAAGATCTAACACTTGTATAATTTCGCTTCAACAACTTGTCTTGCATGTAGATGCTAATGACTTTACACACAGAAAGAAAATAAAGATTCTTCCACATGAAAAGTGTTATAAGAAAGTACACAGTTTACCACTCAATTCAAAGAGATATTTTATTATCTACTGTATTATCTTACCATATTGATGAAGGTGATGACGGAGATTCTAGTTGTTGTAGGAATTGTGAAACTTCTTCAGGTGGGATAGAACCGAATCCAACTTTTCTAATAGTCTCCATACTGGTGAGTGAACTGAAATTAGCATCACTACTTTCAAAGTCTTCTAAACTATCATTCAAATTTAATGAAATATCCGTAGAATCGTCAGACAATTGTCCTAGTTCTTGTTGACTTGGTAGCACTGTCAAACGATTTGCATTGGTAACAACTGCTAGATCAGACCTTTCACTTACGTCATCTAAATCAGATACTGTCGTTCTATATGAAGAAGGTGAAGATAAGTCTTTCATGACTGCCGCTACAGGAATTGTTGTTAAACCAAGGCCCACTTGCAAATCCTGAGTTATTTCGTTCAAGCTACGTTCTTTGCTGAGACCATCATTTTCAGTAACACTTATGGGGATTTCTTGAATGTTATCATAAGAAACTGGAAAATTTGAAGACAACTCTAATGAATCAGTCAGGTCATCACTTTCAGTAACTGAATTGAGTTCTGTTTGTGCATTACAATGTCCTAACATTCTTTTCTTGAGTTGACAATTATTCATTGAGTGGCTTTCCGTCAGACTTAGATCACTGAAAGTCTTTGATAACACACTTTTACTATGTGATCTAGGTTCAGTTTTCAACTTCTTAGCTGAATTATATTTATTTCTAAGTTTCGACTTCCTACAATTATTCCGTTTGCATTTGGTAAGCAAACGAAACTTGCTTTGAAATGACTTCTTTCTTGTATGCAATTTATTTGATTGGCTATGATCTCTAGGCGTTGATGTTAAAACACTTATAGATTGAAATTTATTTAAAGTTGGATTATCATTATTTTTGTTCGACATCTCATGAACATTAATATGTAAAATGATTTTGGTATTATTCTTTGTCGCATCATTGTCGTCATCATCAGTAGCAGAAGCATTAATGGTATTAACAGAGGTTAATGGTCTGCCGAGAATAAGCATTTCATTTATTTCATTCTCCTCAGTAGAATTCTGTTCATAATCTTGATTATTAGTTTCATATTCTTTAACGTTTGACTTTCCATACAGTGCTGATGGATGATCAGATGTGCTTAGATCAGTATAACAGAGATTATTTGATAAAGCACTTGTCTGTATTATACTGAAATTTGGATTTTTTGCTGTACACTTTCTATTTTGACATATTGTATCATTGAATGGATATCTATCAAGAAAAATGAAGCAGTGAAATAAAATACTGTCAAGACAGGAGACAGTTATGATTTTAAAAAAAACATAAATTTTTACTTATATGTATACTCCTTTTGTAGAATGTAAAGTTTTTTATTCCTGATTTTATATAACAAAATTCTAAGTTTACTTGATAGCTAAGTCTACTTTGAGAAAGACAAAAATTTCAACATTTTCTTCAGTTGTCAAGGATGTCAACAATACTACTTAACAGAGCCTTTAATATTAACGGGAGTTGTTTACGTGATAGTTTTTCTACAGTTGTCTGACTTGAAAATACTATCTCTGGAGAGGAATGTATTCTGTACTTAAATTAAAGTTAACATAGAAAACACTTCTGAGTAAACCAATACAAAATTGTTATCATGTCAAACACTTAAGGTTATTTTGTATAAGGGATGTTCATTATTTTGGACAGTACGATTAGTAAGATTTCGTAAAATGGTTCCATATCATTGCATTTCGAGAAAATGTTTGAACATTATGGTATCCAAACACTAAGTTAGCAATGTAAGAGGTGATAACTGAACTTACGAAAGAGACCTTCATCAACACACGGCTTTCATGAGATCAAAATTTGACCTGATAAAGTTTAGTAGGTTAGGTATTGGGCGAATTGAATATAAATTATATATATATATATATATATATATATATATATATATATATAATATCTTAATGAGGTATAAGAATACTTTTCTGACGTTTCATGACTTCTTGGAAATCGCCTATTTAGATGATACAACCTGTTCAAGTTATCGACTCCCTATTAGGCCGGTACGTATAAACATACACGCAACCAAACCAAATTTAATTGAATTTTGGGGATTTAGAGATTTTTCAGGTTGCTATTCATCATGGACTGGTATCAGTTGAAGGAACATTGGAAACCTGGGAGCACCGAACAGCTGTTTCGTCCTAGTAAGAGACTCCTCAGCAGTGCGCACCCACGACCCTGCCACGGATCGAACCCGAGACCTTCAGATTCTATGGCCAGCACGTTGCCGTTGAGCCATGCTAGGACGAAACGGCTGTCCAGTTCTGCCAGGTTTCCAATGTTCTTCCAACTGATGTCATTCCATGATAAATACCAACTTGAACAAAACAAATTTGTCATCCGTAGTATTTTCCCCACACATCCACACCAAGTCGCATGTGCACACACATTTACTTCTTTAATTCGACCTGCATACCAATAACGGATGACAGCGACATTTATGCCCACATTATTATCGTGTATGAACGACGTGGTTTGATTTTTCACCACTTATTATTTAATCAGTCGATAAACTGTACAGGTTTCATTCTAGAAGGAAGCGGTTTCCACGAAGTCGCGAAACGTCATTAGAGTTTTAGAAAGGTATTTCATTTATACGGATTTTAGTGATTGTAAAATAACTATGCAATCAGAAAATGAAATAGATCTATGTTTCTTAGCACTAGATAGATACCATATGTAGTTTCAAACAATTCTTTCCTCCAATAAATTTAAATTGAGCGAAATGAACAGTCTAAGGAGAATAGCATGAATCCATTTTACTTCGAGGTTTTTCTTCAGCTGCTTTCCACCGAAAACAAGTTTGATATCAATTTATACAAAATCCTTGGGTACATGAATCACTCCGATAGAAAACCATCGGCTTAAAGACAAAATAAAATTGATATTACTCCGTGGGAAACATGCGAGCTGACAAACAGTATAAAAGAACTAATTGTAAGTTTGAATATATATCAAAAGATTCAAGTAATATTCTGAGGTGGAATTTGAAAATAAAGGGGGAGACAGATTTATTTCCACATAGTGAGAAAGTTTTCAAGTTGTTATTCATCGAAGACTGACATCAGTTGGAGGAACAAAGGAAACCTGGGAGCACTGGACAGCCGTTTCGTCCTAGTATGAGAAAGTTTTCATAAAATGTGTATAAAGATCAAAAGATTTACGTTGCTATGAAAATGAGATGAGTAATATTCAGACAGTTAGGTAAAATGAGTGAAATGGAGTGACAGTTAATGCGTATAAATCGATAATGAAACGTAAAGACACCATGATTTTGAGCAACACAAAATTTTACCATAATAAGTACAGACTGACATGTTTCTTCCGGAATACGTAAGTTCAGCGTTTAATCGTTTAATGCTAACCGCTTTAATAAAACACGACGAGTTCGAATCCACCTATTTATTAATTGTTTTAAGCGACTTCTAAGCATCAAATTCGTGCCCACTATCAATAAGGTAAAGTACAATAGCTCTATTAAAGACGTTACCACCTCTTAGTGGCGAAATCCTTGGAATGTGCTCATAAATGCGGTCACATACATTTCTTTCTGTTCTCCCAACGTGTGTCCCTTGGTACGTACATGTGAAATGGTGTATGCAGTTGGAGGTAACATAAAAGGGGGAATGGACCATTTTTGACTATTTTTGTAGGCGATTTGTTTAGTGCAGTGAAATTAATCTGACAGCTGGGTTGGTTAGCTTTAAGGCAACATCTATTTTTTAACCAATTATCATAGACGCATCATCATTTTTGAATCCAAGATCCAGAATGATACATTCTCTCTTGATTATCACAATCAGCATTTTAGGTTGGTATTTTCTTATATTAATCAGTGAATTTTTGCATATATTTCTTACGACGGAGGCGTTTTCCAACATTACTTATTTCCTTCTCTGATATCTCTTTCAAACAAAGATATCTTAAGCAGCTGAAAATTGTTTCATCAGCCCTTTGTTGTAATTCTGTGATTAGAAATCGACATACAACTTCCAGATTGTAAGAGAGTATCTACTCATTTGAATTTTAAAAGTTACCGTTTTCACTAGACAATCTTCATTTCAACTGTAAGCAGTCGAAAGCAAAACAATTGACACGTAAGCTACCTCAATCATTAGATAAACCTTTTATTGAACTGCTTAAGGTAAATTTAGCAACGTAATATTTCGGTAAGCCTTGCTAAATATTACTTGACTGAACACTGTCTACCTCCTAATGTAAATTTTATGCATATAGATGAATTATCAGATCAGATTCTGAAAAACGAACAGCATTAATATGATACGCGAAAGTTTTAAAAAAGTATCATCTGGGAAACATTTTATGCGAAACAGTTACATTCTAGTGAATTTTTAGCTCATGTGTGCTCAATTTATAAATGTTTCAGTTGACCGCTGGCATTATATACAAAGTTTGTTGCGCTAAGCTTGAGTCACTTGCGTTTAGCGTTAAGTTACGGTTAAAATACAAAGTGAACTGTCAAATGTTTCCTGAACAAATAATCGTTGTACAAGTATATATACATTATATATATATATATATATATATATATATATATATATATTGAAGTAATTCACTGAACTACTTAAATGACTAACTGATAAAATGAAATCAGGGCATGGAGAACAATGACATGAACCTTTGATCTGTCCAAAGAAAGTCTCTTAGTAAATTATATCAAGTGGTATTTTTAATGAAAATTAAATTCTTCTGAAAGAGAGACTAATAAAACAGTAATTATGTTCAATCATGGATATGGAATATTTCAAATTCCATATAATTGCCGTATAATTTATCAAAGGGTGAATTTAAAATTATCTATCCTTTTGATAAGAAAATGGTTAGGAATTCACTAATTATTCGCACACCTAATTTTGATGAATGACTGGTTAGAATTAACAAGAAACTAGTTTTTTTTTCACAAACTTATACATACTAGGCTAACTGATGAGTTGGTACTGTTAGTAATGATTTTATGAAGTTCTAGAATCAAAATTTGACTTGATATAGTTAAATAAGCTGAGAATGGGGTAAATGGATTCTCTGAAGAAGTGAATTCCACGAGATCGCGAAACATGAGGAATTTATTTTCTATTTCAGTGCGATCTTACGGACGTATTTATATGATTTTCAACTCAAAATCATCTTTCTCACTGTTAAAATAGCTTCTTGTCGACAGAATGAAGGGAAATACTTAAAATCATGGTTCACATAAAAAGTCAGTTTCCTTTTAATTCCCCTCTTCCACTCAGCAGGAAAATTTGCATCTTCAGCATACCAATCATTTACGAGTTTCATCAGTAGTATGAGCATGGTATCACAATCTTACAGTCATCGCTAGTGATCTTTGAACTGTTTGTTATTGAAAAATATGTATTAAGTTATTTAAAAAAATCAGGAATTTCGCATATAGTCTGTCGATTCATAGAAGCAGCAGTGAGTTACATTTAATCCTTGTAGACAGATGCGTCACATATACTTCTTATGCTTAACTTCATGCTCAAATGGAGGTGAAAACCATGTTATGTAAATGGATGCATTCACCCGTGTTTTAACAAAATGCACTTGTTTAACTACAACCACAGCACTGTTAAGGGACTATAACTCAGATTGCCTCATAAGCAATGGAAATCAAGAGGAATAATACTTTTTTGAACATCCATACCATGCATCTTCATAATTGATTCTAGGAGCAAGCGTTATTCCAAGCCACTTATATGTTCTCGCAGATATTCGCATTCGGCCACTAGAACTAGGGAATTCTCATGAATATTTGCGCAACCATGAATAAAGTAAGTGACATCAAATCACAAACAGCATTCCAAATCCGAATTCAGTCGAAGCCAAAGAGGCAGACGTATTGAGCGAGGATTAACGAAACTACCCAAACCTCGGTGATTAAAAAAATTATTTCAGCACGAAAGGTAAATGATGAATATGATAGTTGAGTCCAGTTATTGAATTGCTGGTTCATATGGAAGATAATGCATCAAAAAGTTTCACTTCACTTCTTGAAATCAAACAATACCTTGTACTCATACATAGCACTGTGTCAGGCAGTCAGTAATACTACTCAATGTTTTCCTATCAAGTTTTACAGGTACACATTACTCAACGTTTGCTTTAAAACCTAGTGCTATTTGTTTCAACAGGTTAAATAATTATGATTCACCGAATGTTACAAAAATGATGCTTAGCTTTGAATTGTTTCTTTAAATTCACACCCAAAGGTTACGGAGTGTTATTCTTCACAACTGTTGCCAGATACTTTTGTTGTTTTTTTTATCTCACAGACACCATGATTAAAAGAGCTATTGTGAATTCACGCAGAAAAAAAAATGATAGTATTCATAGTGACTGATGATTTCAAGATCTACACATATTTGATGGAATATATATATGCATATATACCCGAAATATTTGATAGTATTTTCTTAAATGACATAATATCACTTCAGGAGCAAAGAATAACTATTTTTTATGTGTTCTCTTAAAAATACATCAGTCTAGTAACAAATCTAAACTTTAAAAATTTTATGGACTTCAAAATAATTTGTTTCCATTGTCATTTTAATGGTTACTGAGATACATTTACCATATAGGTAACGCAAAGTTTAGTTTTACTTCGAGAATTCACGCACCTAATATAAATAATGTATTCAAAAGAAAACATTATTTTACTGTTATGTTACCTGACTAATCACTCTCCCAGAACGCAAATAGATATAGTCACAATTTATTCGCATAACGCTTAAAGGGTCACAAGAAGAAAAGTAAAGATATTTAGTTGATACCTTAAAATTGGTCATCTCAAACAGCCAGAGGAGGTTTCAGGTCAAAACCATGGTTACCAAGAAACAATTATATCACTCCAGGTACAAAAAGTGTTTTACTCTGGAAGATTATGTATGGATCAAGTCAGTCTATGTATCTGAATGTCAAAGAATATTTTACTCATTCATTGTGCCAGTATATGCACTAACATTTTGTTTAGTCGGAACAAAATAAGTTCTAAATCATTTTCAAAAAGATACACCTGTACTCACTGACGAAAAAAAGAATCGAAGAGTACAGAGCAGCTTGTAAGTTAGTTTAAAAAGGCAGCATTCCCACTGGTATTTCTTAACTATGGTGTCAACAAATTCTAACCTGGAAACCATTCCGTCAACATGAACACAATTTTTTTCATGTATGGAACTAAAAAGCTTTTGAAGTACTAACAATACTTCAAAGGACTAGGATAAACTTACAACCTCCGAACTCCTACAATTTTCGGTAAAAAATTTAGTCCAACCAAGCATTTTTGCGTAAATATATTTACACCTAAAATCTGGCATCTCAAATATAGAATGCAAACGTATATGATGGCACACAGTATACTCCAATATACTCCTTCAGCTGTCTGAGCAAGTGGTGTTTACATTTGTATGCGCTGGTATGGCAAACAAAACAAAGCAGGACTGATTTAGTTAAAAAGATATGCAGCAACCGAGAACATATCAACTCTTCTTAAGAGCATAGATTAACAAGTGAGCAATGAGATCATATTTATATGGACATGTGCTAAAGGATGTTGCTGTAAGTGGATCAAGAAATTTTTAAATTTAAGCTGAACTTTTCTGATCTGTTGATTAGGAAAAATTGAGTGTTTTCGATAGAATAAACGTGCTTTCACCTTTATACCAGAATGATAAGCATAGGGTTTTCTTGTCTTTCTGGTATAACTATTTTGGCATGAATTCTGCATTTATTCACCTGGATTTGCAAAAACTGGAATGTTTTATGAGGACCGTTACTGTGAGTGGCGAGATCTGTCACCAGGACAAATGACTGAGATGAGAAATGATAATGCCACGTTTTCAGAACATAATAAGACATTATATGAAAATTCTAAATAAATTATTTTCTGGTATTTCATTCTTATTCAACCAACTGGACAAATCGAAATTTACTTAACCATTTATTTAGGATAACTACTAAACATAGATAATGAGCGTGAATTCACTAGCGATGCCGAATGAGCGATCCGAAATTACTAAGAGTTCAACCATAAGCACGCTATATAACAATTCTTAGAGACCAAAAGATTATCATCAGTCATTCAAATATGAACTGTGATCATCTGTACATCAGCTAGAAGCTGAATCAAAAGCTTCATTTATGAGACACTTTTCCGGACTTGGGATGTATACATGCTCATACCACAGTATTATACTCATTTTTTAAATTAGTTTTCAAAACTGAAATGTTTATTCAATACTAGATTTCTTGGCAACAAATGTGTAACAAATAAATAAGTATTAAAACAAGTATAATCTCACCTTGTCAATTTGTTACATGATAATTCAATTAACTCTGCCTTTTCCAAATAATCTACACAAAGTTTTGCATATTCTTGGAAGGGAAACGTCTGTGTCGCTTGGTCAGAGGTGATTGGTAGCTGATTGTCATTACAATTACCCCCAAGAGGATTATCATGATGATGTAACTGTTTTCGGTGTATGCAGTCCATAGGATGCGAATAAAAGGGTAATAAATTCAAAGGCGAATTATTATTCTTAAATAAAAGCAATTTTGTCCATAAGCAACTAGCATTAGAATGTACTGTAAAACTTTTGAATCTGTAACGTGATATCATGATTTACCAATCACCATATACTGATGCTGACTTAAAGGTAATCACTTATGTCACATTTTCACAGAAAATAAAAAAAATCAAATATACGGATAAAATTAAAGTTTACTGATTTATTAGCACGTAGAATTTTAGAAGACTGTTTGAATGTGTATCTTTAAGACGCATGAAAAATATCATCTACAGATGATTGGTCAGGCGAATTGTCCAATCAGAGTGATCTTTTAAGGTAAGCAGCATTTTAAAATTGTTGATTTGCTTCATTAATATTAGTTTGTTCAGGTCAGTGCAAAACAGTGGTTATGAAGTACAAGTCAACTTAAAATGATTACTCTAGGGTCGATTAACAAATAAAATAAAAGTTGTCCGATTATGGTTAGTTAATTAACAGAAATAATTCATTTACTGACAATAAAGGTTATTATATAAGCATCACTCGGTAGCCGATGACTACTTTATGTTACATGTTGTGTAACATGTTAGCAAACCATCTGATTTGGTCCAGTTTCACAACTGCACCTTATGTAGCACATTCATTATGTATTACCTAATACTTAGCATAATCATCACTAACACATTACTATCATCACCATAAACAGAACTACAAAGGAAGTGTCTGCCAAAGTAATTCCCGTTGATCACTTATTTTTACTGGCTATGCAATAAAACAAAGGTCAATTTCACTCACTTAACTCTCTATAGAAAACCCCAGTTTTGTGTTTGTCACAGATCTTTTAATAAGTGTTAGGAAAGTCATTTCAAACTGGGCAGAGTTTTCCTCAACTTTTATTTACCTTAACTAGACCGATCTTTTGTGGGAAAGGAGAGATTACCACACAAATTTTACACATCCTTAAGTTTAGTAGCATTTCAAAGGCGACTAAAACGAAAATTAAATCATTCAACTCAGCTTGTAAGCATTGTCTCCAATGAAATAATGCGGCACATTTTCTAACATTTGTACTTCCAAATGGTTCTTTTTATGACGTGAACATAACTGTAAATTATCTACTCAAATACTGTTTTAAAAATGATAAATTAACCTTCACTCACTTTATATGCGAAAAAAGGAAATATTTTAAAGACTGTAAATGACAACGTAAAATGACGATTCTACACCAAAGGGAGTTAGCTACTAGCTGCTGTACAAAGTATACTAAATGAAGTGCGCAAAAGATTCAGGTGAAAATTTGTATCCCGTTGAGAATAAAGTAAATTATTTTGTTTATTTATTAATATTGTTTTTAGTATTGCTTATTACCATTATTTAGAAAAAGAACCTTACCAATAGCTCAGGGTACTTTTAAAGTAATCTTTGTCCAGAGATATCCCTCGCACCTACTGCATGAGCTTAGCAACAAAACGTGGGCTGGACAGGGTCATTTTTTCTGCTTAACAATCTAAATGTACATGTAAGTTAAGTTATACGTAGATGCTGATTTTTGTAATGGAAGCTCTACTAGAATTAAGCCGTTTGTTAACAAAGGTAAACTGCATTCTTAATAACTTAAGAAAGCCTATTGACTTTACTCCGACTGATATTTTTCATACTTTATTTAAACTAATATCATATCATGCAGGGAGCTGTGACTCAATGATTTAGCGAGATAAATTTCAACCATTGGGTTACGGTCCCCCCCCCCTACTTATGGAGATTTAAGCAGCCATGTTGTATCACTAACTCTCACACAAGAGGTCTGGCTTATTGCCTACTGCACGAATATGTACAAGATGTCTGCGTCCACTTCAATTTACACTATGGAAGAACCTCTTTCTTCTCAAATGTATGATACACAAGTACCCATCAATAGTTATCAGATAAAAGAAAAAAATTAGATTTTATTTTTGCTTCTCTACCTTGAATAGAGACTGTGTAATATATAAATTGCAAGTTTTGAGCGTCTTTCTTTTAAAGAGAGGAATAAAAACTACATGTATTGTCTATTTCCCTGGTTAAATTTCATTTCATTAGAAATCATTAACCATCATACTGATAGAAAATATAAACAGATGACTGAGAAGTTCATTGTAAATTATTGACTTATCTAGTACAGTGTGAATGGATGAAATATGTTATCATGTAAAACTGTTGATTGCAAACTGGAAGGGTTTAATTGTTTCGATCGAATAAAGGTATTTCAAACAGTATAGGAGAAAAATTATAAGATTTGCTAGTTTTAAAATGATTAAAGGCACTCTGTTTCACGTACGTCGTCAACATGCGTGTTGTGAATTTCTGCTTAGAGATATCTTCAGCTAAATGTTAATAAACGCTTAAAATTGAGTAATTATAAGCCTATCTGACTGAATATATCACTAAAATAATTTCCACTATTAAAACAGAGCAGCAGAGGCAGACCATATCTGAAACCTGTAATTATCATTTTAAAAATATAACGAATTATGCTGCATCAGGGTATATCTGTTTAACCTACAAACTTTACACTGTATATATCGCAAATAGGGTTTTACTTTAAAGACATATCCCGAGGTAAAAAAAAAAAGAAATATAAAAATATATTGGCAATGATTTCTAGCTGCATAAGTGAGATGCGTCTGACACTAATTTAACAGTATGGTGAAGAATCGAACAGAAGTTAATTAAGGTCAATTTATCTGACTAAATATTTTTAAAACACTATTCTGAAATAAGCAGATAAAAAGGAAAAGAATATCATTTTATCTTAAAATGAATAACTGAAACACAATGTCGATAACTTTCTGAACAAGTCATCTTACTTAATTAGCATAAAGATATTATTTTTGTCTGTTAAAGTCAAGTGTCAGCAGATATAAACAAACTGACTTACTGGTAATTTATTTTCAGAGTTTCGAAGTTCAAATGACTGTCTAAATTCATCAAACGATGTAGTTAGAATATCTGCAAACAAGAATAAGCAGTCTCATAGTTAATAAATTCAAAAAAGTGAAAACAAGCAAACGACATTACATATACACGTGTATAATCTAATTCAACAATGTTATGATATGAAATGTAATTTCTTTCAAAAGACTTTTTATGTAGTTGATGAATGGTGAAAGTACACCGATACCATAGACTGATTAAAATCTTTAAAAAATATATGGTCTTATGGCTTTAAAATCATCATGCCTAAACTCTTCAGATATGTTCAAGTATTATAAATAAAATATGATAACAGAATTTCGGTGAATCTTTAACATACCTGGGGTTTGTTTCGAATATCTCGCTGACTGACACCCAAATATTTCCTCTTTGGAGTCCTGAAACGTGTTCAAATCTACAACCAATCCTCCGTAATGAACCTGCAGGTGAAAAGGAATAATTGACTTTTATCTTGAACAATCAGTAAATATTCCTGTACAGTTGCATGATGAATTACTTCCAACAAAAACTATGATGGTCAACGTGTGGAATCAGAGAGGCTCGTCAGATTATCGTCCCACTGAAGACATAGTTCGTTATGAAAGATTACTAGGTTAAAAATCAAGCTAGTAACTGATATCATCTGGTCTGAACTCTACTGTCCAACCGCAATTAGTGTTCTGTTATACCCTTAGATGATTTATTTGATTACACAAAGATAAGATTTAGTTTTTGTTGTTATGGTAACTACACAAAAACAGTCTCTCTCTACTTATGTGCTTATAAGTAAGAACTTTCTGATACTTATATTAGGTAATTAAAAAGTAATTTAAATAATCTGAAAGCTGTAAACGTTAAACGAGTAAAACAGAAACTTACTGAACTTTCTGAACTAGATTTTCGAAGGAGTGGTCTTCGTTTACTCAGTCTCCTGCTGTGGTTCAAAAACTTGGAAAAGATGAGGAAACAATAATAAACGTACTCAATAGTTTAACACTAAATAATAACGATGACTGTGTTCGAGATAATAACTTTCATAAAGTTTGGAATTCGAAAGTAGTTTTCATCACTGTCTGACATCAATTGGAGTAATACATAAAACCTGTGAGTTCTGTATAGCTGCTTCGTTCTAGTTCAGCATCGCGCGCCAGAAACTGAGCGAAATAGTAGTGAGTGAACAGTTGAGTTCCTACCGAATGGCTGAATGTTATTACAATGGCCGTCAGAATTAATTTTTCTGAGTGTGCATAAGAAAGGAGTTTAAATCTAGGATGAGACAGCTATTCCATGCTCTTAGGTGTTCAATAATTCTCCAACTAACTGTAATCTTTGGAGAAAATTACTTTGGAATCAATAAGTCTATACAGATAGACAATCGATAGTTTAGATTTAGCAGGATAATATCACAAAAAATTTACTCGTTCAATATCTTCAACAGGAATAATTACGACAACTAAATAATGTGAATTATAATAGTAGTGGAATACTCTATAAATGACAGAAAGAACGAAACAACTGTTAATAGATTTTTACGGAGTTATTAAGTAAGTTTTCAGCTAACATTTCTTTCCTCAACAAAGATTTTTGCTTAATGAAGCATCACTGAGGTTTTTCACTTTGTTGTAGAGGCGTAAAATTCTACTGCTTCTTGTTTTCCATCAGAAAAAACAAGAATGAGGCCCAGAATAGAGGGGTTATTCAGTGTTCGTTAAAATGACTGCGACTGTATTCGCCTGCATGAATTCGAGTGCGTGTCAACGATAGTGTCAATCAGTTGGGTCAGAGACACACTGCTGATCTAGATGATAGCCTTTCAAGTCCTACGCAATGTAGCACAGCCTTTTGTTATCAACTCTTTTAAGAACGAGAGGAATAAAGAAAGAAAAGTGACCGAGGTATACGAGTTAGAAAGCCACAAACGTAGAAACCGGTTTATACCTGAAAGCCTCTGCTTTCTTAGGTAATATGTCAGACGACAGATTTTTAAAAAGTCAGAAATACATGAGACGACCAATAAAGACCAGCAGGAAATTCTATCCCAAGATAAATAAGTCTATTTATTTGTAATTGTAGATGTTAAAAGACTGAAGACTGAAGGACTTCACATAATCCTTGTCCACGTATAAGACTAAATTTGACAGTCTGACCATCTATATGATTAAGATTAGACGTATATGAAAAAGACAACTGGTGAATTTCAGATAAAAATCAGCGAAACACATCAGCTTCAAAAAGCAATGAAGTGCATAGCTTTTCTTGATAATCGATGAATTGCTATCATTCAGATAAATGAAATAATAGTTGATTGCAGAGGCAGACTGCAGGTTTACTTTACAGTTACAGTCAGGAGACAGAGTTGTTGAGAACGTATGTATCACTTTTGTCGAAACTTAAAAAATCATTATAATGCGAGACATTGTTTAGCATACAAATTTATACTTTGTTTATTACCGAACTGCTCTGGATCACCAATAACATTTTATGAAGGTTGAAGCATGGATAAAGATTAAGCTTACTTTTATACGTCTCAGTATGTTTACAATAAAGTAGTTCCTACATTTTTCAAGAAAATATAGTCCCAGCTATTTCAGGGAAATAATTAAAATTGAAGTGTCAAAGTTGTATAAACATCGCAACAGTTCTAGTTGGTATGGGGATCTCGGGAGGAACATAAAGAATTCTTAACAATTAAGAAATAAGGGTTTATTTTCAACCAATGAATAGTCTGTAATACTGTGTATGTATAGAAGACAGCTAGGCAGGTAAATAAGTGTAGGGATGAGTAACACAGACTACGTATAAAGTAGATTCGAAAAGTTTAAGCGAAGGTGAGAGAGACTGGGGAATCAGATGATGCACTGGACTATATAACAATAAGCCACAAAACTGATTTCCATGTAACCAAAGTTCTACAAAATAATTTTAGATGATAACCAGCAAGACCAATGGTCGGAGCTCTACATATATGGGCATATCCAAATAGTCTGGACAGGTAAGGTGGAGTATAGTTAGATGCCACTTGTCAAATAGAACAAGTGACTCTTGCATTGAATTTAATCCACAGTCACATCATTATGGCTTTATCAACAAAAACAACACAGTCTGGATTGATTCAATATACTGTTATTATCCCATATTAGATTTATTTATTTGATTTATAACACTACTTTCGAAATTTGTGTGACTACATTGATATGATTATGAGCAACAGTTTATACTCGAAACGTCATCAAGTAAATAATACTGTATGACTGTGCGCTATATATCAATCAAATAAATAAATCTAATATTAAATTAAATTAAATTCTCCACAGCGCTCAAGTTTTACACCTATATTGATATTATTATTATTATCACCATTATTTCAACTACTCGTTTCCACTTTATCCTGACAAGTCAATGACAATTTCGTGAATAACAACACATCTCTACATACCTACAGAACTGATACATATCTGAGGAGTCCCATACTAGGATGAAACAGCTGTCCAGTGCTCCCAGGTTTCAATAGTTCCCCAACTGATGTTAGTCCATGATGAATACTACTTCTGATACATATCTCTCATTTCCAAGCCCTACAGTACTTGCCCATAAAATTACCCAGTGACTACGATGTCATCTGTAACCTTTTCTGTCTCATATTTACGATCAAAATTAGTAGGAATGACAATGGAAACACAAAGATGTACAATTTCACATCGAATGATTAGTGATCACATTTAAAAAAATACTGAGTACACAGAGGATTGAAAAAGGAGATTAGGGACACATTTTTAAAGCCGTTTACATATTTGTGATAATTTGATTTTCATTACTCCCAGTAGAGAAGTTCAGACGGAGCACCCATGTGAGACGTTGGATGCATTTTATTTCAAATGGGCTGGAACTTATTTAAATATAATCTACATCCACTGTCAACTTTTTACTCAGTACCTAATATTTTGGTACTATTTGTTCAATTTTTGGTCACAGTTCATAAAAAACAAACTAACAAAGTATTCACTCCATCGTTCTCAATAAAGAGAGGTGTTGACAGATCTTGAATGTACGAGTCAACCAGAAAATGATGACTTTGTAACAGATAAGATTTTAATTTCCTTCTAAACGACAGGTACTGTATTTTTAAAAGACAATCTAGTAGAGGTGTCTAAGAGGATGACGGAAAAAATCTGCATATTTTCTCGATATAATACCCGGTATACCATTCTGATTCATGCTCTGGTATGGAATCAAGGGTTTTTGAGATATTTGAACAAGTCGTTTGTACTAAGACCCAAACAAAGCCACTCATTTTATCGGAGATAGTAGGTAGGAAGGTATCAGCTTGGTGGTGTGTGAATGACTACTTTAAAGGACAAATATTAAAACAAGTCCCACTACACATATCTCTTACATCAGAAATTTATTTTAACTTCGATTTTTTAGAGGTATTCGAACCCTATAGAAACTTCCAGTTACATATCTGACTTCATGAAACAATTTAGTCTTCTAACACCAGGGTAATTATTCACGATGCAAAGCCGTTTGCTTTACTCTTCAAAACTTCTTGGATTGTGGAGAAACAAATTTTCCTGACCTAATGAAGACTTTTATCGCTCGAACATCTAATATCAAGATAGAATTCAATATAGTAGTTGACATCGGTTATATTGTCATCTAAAACTGCATAAACAAATATATCTTAGCCTGTGTCCTCTAACACACCTCGAAGATCCAGTATATTGACCATTAAATAAAATCTATGTGTTTTCCAGAAAGGTGTGCTAAAGCCCTCCTTTGTAACCTGCATTAAACTTTAGGCAAAACATGCGTAACACAGTGGCCAGAATATGGTATACATCATCTATATCATATACCATAAAATCATCCCCGCATTCCAGATCTAGTGCAATGTCCAGATAAAATGTAAAGTTGACAAGATCCTTGTCATTGTGACATAAAAAGTTTTAGTCACGCATACTATTAAAGAACTGCCTAGCATGAGAGAAGCGGATTTGTTGAATTCATCAACAAGGGTAAATCAATTACAGAAACTGCAACTATGTGTTTAGCGTAGATTTTTACACTACTGAACCCTAAACTGTCATTGGAGATGCTGAAATATGCAAAACTGGAAGTAAACCACTTGATATTGGTAAAAAATGGTTCACTTCCACTACACTTCTTCTTGAAACCACATTGATCATATAAAACCATTTAAGTGGACTTGTTATCTTGAAGTGATGATACACTCGAATTACGACAAAAATTGGAGGGTAAGAGTCGCCGAAATCAATACACATTTTTCTGACCAAAACCTCAAGTTCCATCTATTTTGACAACAGTCTTTGATCGATTTTTGTGCACCCTAGAGCCCATCGGCATAAAAAGTGTTGATTGTTCTTAGTTTCCTCGTGAACATATAAAGTGATTGGTTGAAAACACTTTATAAATATCCAAGAGTAATTAACAATAATGGGAACATATTCAAACAATTAAAGTAACCTAAAAACGAGTAGAATGATGCAATATGTTCTATGGGAAGGTTTTGGTAGCTGAAGGTTTAACTAGACTGTCCTATATCGGCATTAAAAGACGTGTTTCACTATTCATTAAAATAATTTGACAAACAAGGATTTCCCACACTGTTATTAGCAAACTTCAATCAACTTACTTGTGTAATTTCATGAAGGTATCAAATATTACTCCCTGAATGGAATATGTTAATATCACACACAACGAAAGTTTTCTTATTTTTCCAAAAGAAAGTATGGATCATCATAATTCTAAATGCGCTTGGTGGTTTTCATTTGATAATTAACCAAAAAAACCTATGGGCGTGATTTACAACTGTAATATTTTTAAATCTAACGTATGCTTGAGTGGAAATTACACGAAATTTATAAATCACTGGTAAAACGTGACTGAATTTATTTAATACGAAAAGGATAAAGGTATAATTAGAGACTATATAAAGGTATTTACGTTAAGTTAACGCGCTCACTTTTCGCACTGCCTTCATCAATCAATTTGGTAAAGAAAAGAAAGCATTAATATGAAAACAAGCCCAAAAATTTAGTCTCGTCATTTAACACGGTCACAGACGCATCAATGAGTCAAACTTGTATGAATGTAAGTAAAGAACATAGACAACACAAAGTAACTAAGAAACTTAAATTAACTGTCTTACCCTGTGCACTGTAGAGAAAGATCCTTTTTCTTGCAGTCTTTGTTTTAATGTAGCAATTTCATCCAATAGTTGCTTTATGTAAGCAGAACTTGCATCCTAAATTATTGATAATAATAACAGGGATTAACGAAAAACATTCACTTTACAACCTTACCTCATTCACTTTGGGTGTATTCGTGATCATTTTCGCTTGTTGAGCATAACGTAATGTATTCAGTGTTTCATTGTATTGTTTGTAAGAAGGTGATATAGCTAAAAATGTAGGATGTGAATTAAAGTTAAATAAGTGATTAAGAACAATGCATCCAGGTAATGGTAAAACTTGTTCAGTTTGGTAGATTATAATTAAACATTTATTTAATGGTCAATATGAAGTAACACAGATTGCTATGGTATTAGTTTATAGATGCAATTTCAAGCACAATTCACTGCGCATAGTCATACTACAGAAATCAGTTACCTTTCATACCTCTTTTCATGGTCCAAAAGCTTTATTACTAAAATTAACTAATCTAATCTAAAAGTACGCACCCCTATAGAAATATTATGTTTTACTTTACATCTAGCAAATTTATGAATAACTTAGGAAGACCATTATAACTATATGGAACTGATTGGAATCGCAGAGTTAACAGTATATTATTAAACGTAGCCATAACACGGTTCGTCATCATGATTGTTAGCTGTCAGAAATGGAGAACGAAATTTCTAACCACATGAGATATATTTAGAACAAGACACAGAAGTCTTTTATTCCATTTTGTACACATCCAGTAGATACTTTAATGCATAAAAAAATGTTTTATTCATCATGAACTGAAACATAGAGGAAAATGCCTACCTAAGATATCTTCTCTTACGAAATAAACGAACTTCGAAAGTTCAGAGTGAATCCATAAGGAGATGTTCTATGTCCCTAACATCCTAAAACTTGGTAAGACATTTTGCATGAAAATTGGAGGGGGGGGGGAGATGAAAATAGGGCATGAAGGGATTTAATCATAGGAAGGATAATGAACAAATAGATGGTGTGACCACAGAAAGTTCCCTAGGACCATTGCTAGCTGATATTTACATATCATATGTTGAAGGCTTGACTGGTGACCTCATCAGTAGAGTTACTCTCTAAAAGAGATATGTCGACGATCTAATTGGGACATGTGACAAGGGACATATCTGTTAGAAAGACAACACTGTACAAACCAATATGGTCCCAGTATATAAAGAAGAGGAAGACAACTGTTTGACATTCTTGGATATAATCCTGAATCTTAGGAAAAACGGTAAATATACAGGAAACCTATTTGGACAGGTCAGTAAATAATTTTCCATAGCCTTTGTCCAACTCAATGCAAAAAAGGTTCAGTAATGGGTCTATTCAAAAAGATTCAAGCGTATCTGTACGGAATACCTAACAGATGATGACATCAAAATACTGACTGAAACAGTAGTGGAAAACGGATATCTAGTGGAGTTCATAAACCATCGTAAAAATCAGCCAGTGTTGAAACCCGGTCTCTATTATATTCCGAAGAAATGCTTTCATGTCATGTTATCACACAGAGGGAAATCCAACAGGGTAATTTTAAAACAAAGGCTACGATTCGCCATTAGCAAAACATACTAAGCAGCTAGGATGTCTCAGGTAATGAGGACAATAATAAACGGGTCACCTTTGGATTGATATCAGTTTGTATTGGAATAAAAATATTCAACAAAGTGGATTGCAGGATGAAGAAAGGCCATTATATCACTGAAATGAACGTGAGATCCAGGTAAAAAATGAACCTCGCATATCATGCAGCGAAATACGAGGTCATAACTTGGAAGACGTGTATTCATAAGTCACGATAGTTAAGTTTCCTTTCCACTTTAGCTGTTACATATATACGTATCAAAATAAGATTATTCATATATCTTAAGATTTATTCTTGTTCAAAGATAACAGGTGATGATACACAATGAAAAGAATAGAAGAAAACGTTACTTGCAATCATTGTGGTGCGCGCATTTCCACCTAATGAATCTCTTAACAGCCATGTTAATTTGGAATTTCGATAAGGAATATGAAATGAACCATTGTGATTGCTGCTAGAATATCGAGAACTCCTTGTGCTGTTCAATGTTGACTGACTACTGTGTATGGTTAACTCCATTTCATTGTTATTGACTAAAGATTTTTCAGCTGGAAAGAAATTCATAAATATACTTAGAATATCTGATGAAGAGATAATCAGTTGACACAAAAATTTGAGCACCCAATGAAAAAGTGAAAGATGAAACTGATTTCTGCTTATGTCATTGAGGTAAACAAACTAACCGACCGGAACTGTCAATTTTTCAAGTGATTTCATGTTTTAATTAGTACTTTTTAAATAATTTTGAGGTAACACAGTCTACGAATTGCTCGTAACTATCGCATTTTAATCAAACAGATTTAACACTTGTCATTAATCTAATTTCTTGAAGACAACAAAAAATTGATTCGTTTATCTCACTGACGTACCTTTCTAAAAGTGTTGCCATTACTCAGAAAAGTGAAGATAATAAGCTTCGAATTCGTTTCCACTAATGTTGTTTCGATATGCATAAGGAGAATGAAGTATCAGAATATATGGAAATTGTTCTTCATTTGGATTTTGTTAATTCTAAAATTAGCACCGATATTCCGTATGTCCCCTACGAATAGTAGACATATTTCTTTGAAATCATAGTGCCACACTATAAACAGGATCTTCCATTCTGAATTTAGTTTTAAGGTTTATATAATGACGCCCTAAAATTACCAGCGTGACATTGATGACGTGATTTTAAGCGTACTTTAAAAAGATTTTTTAAAAATATGAACACACCACGAAGCCAGTGGTCATTCTAGATCCCCAAACCATACTAAATAACCGTTTTTCGACACTGAATAGTTTGAGTTAAAAACCTCACAGTTCCGAGTTTTCTTAAAACTGGTTGATGAGTTAGCCTAAATGAAGATAAACCATATACTAAAAAATTCAAGATAACTAGTTTTACTTAATCATCAATAAATTAAATAAATTCCAATGACCGTGAGTTCGGCCGGTTGGATAATTGTAGTCTTCCTAAGCTACAGAAAGTAAGTCGAACATTTATTGTCAATGTTGACAACAGTGGTTAGAAAGTCCAGCTTAAAAGTTAAAGTGTTGATGTGTTGTATTTTGATTGGTAATCTATCAATGTCTATATTGAGTTGTATAGTAGTTCACTTATTTAGTACATTTTCTGTTCTTACAATTTAATAAAATAATAATGTGCAGGAAATTCAATAATATCATTGGACAGTGTTATGAAAAGACTGAGATTATCTGAAACACGAAATGCATTAGCCCGCTATATATTTCAAAATATCTGATCATACATGAACTTGTTGAATTATTTTGTTTAATATGAGAAAGGTTAAGTAAGGCAGTAGAATCATAATTCAGAAGCAAAATAAGGGCAGAACGAAAACAAGAGAGGGAAACCAAAAAGGTCAAATCACCACCACCAACAGTGTGAAGAGTTGAACTCAATACTACCAGAATAGGTTAAGTGTAAGCACAAATTGTTGTTGAATATATAAAGGGGGTTCGAATTTATGGATGGTAAACGCTTTAATAAATCTAGGTAATCGTCCTTGACTATTTTTATACACTACAATGAAGTTTGCCTTCATACCAATCTTCTGATCAGTGGCCTAATTAACCTTTCTCTGTTTCATATAAACTATTCGTCAAGTTCATGTATGATCAAATTGTTCCAAATGTATAGCACCAAAACATAACATGTATCAGATAATCTCCATCGTTGTAAATAGTCCCAGATAAGCCCTTAAGTTTCATTATGACCTCCTGCCAACCAAATGCTTCACGACAGCTTCATAGAAATCAGCACAAACAACTTTCTAGAAATATTTTTGCACGTTTTAAAATTTTGTCTGTTGGTTTGTTAATATGCAAACGTTTGTAAAGGCTTTGCTCGTACTACTGAATAACAAGCTAAACTTTAAACAAATGCTACATGAGTTACAGCGACATAAAACTTTTTATGATAATTCACTTGGCTGTGGCTAGGAGAGAAGTTAAGGATGTGTGTTTCGCCTTAGTTGGAACTCATCAGTAGATCAACAAATAGTAATAAAACTTCTTGTTTAGGTGAAAAAATATCTCGCACATTTCTGAAATTGAGTTTAACATCTCCAAAATATTATCTTAGTCTCTGTTGATTGGTTCAGTCTGACTAAATACTATGCACTAAATAGTCAGTAAAGAAAGCCGTTTACATTGTATGCTAGAATTCCAGCCGTTCACAATTTAAACTGCAGTGGGTTTGCACAGTTGGAAACTGATTATGAAGTTGCATGATCGCTTCAAAACAACTAGTTTTACAGACCAGCCTAGAGTAGACGCAAAATAACTAATTTGGGTTCGTTATTTTGACTGAAAAATTAGTTTCTTATAGAACTGGAATCCCCCCCAGCAACCCTGTACACACCCGTGCAGCACCCAATAAGCCACACCTATTATATGAGGGCTACTGATACTACCTAGCTTCCTGAACCTTCATAGGTGGGTGAGGCTAGAACCAGTGACCCATCAGAGAAAGTTATCTCCCTAAATTAATTAACCACAGATCCGTTAGGATAAAATAGTACAACTAAAGTTATTAGTTACTTCATTAGTTAGTAGAATGACATTTACAGATAATCTATGAATAAAAGGTATGCGTTCTGAATTTTTGCTTCTTTGTGCTTCTTTCGGGGAATTCTTTGTACACTATATTTTCGTATCATTTATAACTGCTAAAAAGTTGGAAGTTGTTGGTAGAGACCAACCTTCTTGTCTGTCAGTCCAAGACCGTCTCTGACCTTATTCATGTATTCGCCAGTTCTTTATGAGGGTGCATCAGACTAATTATCATCAGAGTACATCTGAACGTCTTTATTATGTAAACACAACAGCCTTATTTTATACAACAGGATTACATTTCGAAATCAGTTGGTAGATTACCTAGTGAGTAATATTAGTGCCAAAAAAGCACCAATCCTAAAGTTATCCAGCTTCGATGACGTAATGAATCAAGATATTTAAATAATAAGTTCATTTACAGCACAAAATGCGTAGACAGGTCTCAAATCTCCAGGGTGCTTGTTGTTTATTACTAATTTTAAAAACAGAAACAAAACTCAAACACAGTTCGACATGAATCAGTGCCTAACTAAGCATGACAATGACATAGATGACAGAATACACCCAAATATATTTTCTGACTTACCCAGCTTCCCGATAACTGTACTCAAAGATGATAAAGACAAATTAATTTTTCTGCCTTCATTGAAACGTTTCTTATCACTTAAATTGTGAACGCGTTCACTGACATAGGTAAATAAAGAAAAATGGACAATGTTACTGACTTGTTAGTGGGAAGTAGATTTGTATATTGACAAGTGTTTAGACAATTTTAAAATTATTAAAAACAGTCTCGTCATCTTTTTATCTAAATTTACATCTCAGTGATTTGATCCTATTTATTTCCAGAAATTAACAGTAATGTCGAGATATACTACTGAACAAAATGAGTAGTTAGAAACTACTCATGATGTTTAGATTTTGATAACCAGATAAAAGCGACCAACACACCGAAAGACCGTTTCGCTTGCTTGAAGACGGGCTAGTTAGTCATGTACTCGGACGAATTTACTTCGCACAGCTTGGTTGCTCAAAGCAACAGAATATACCTAGCTGAATTGGATGGACCATTATGCCTTCAAATGATTCACAAACTGCACTGTCTACGTGAACATTTCTCACAATTGCGTAGTTTCTCAACTTTCAAACTATGACGTTAAAATGGAAACACTACTGACATCAGAGATGAGTAGTTGAAAAACAAGCTAGCTGACAGAAATGTCAATGTGAACCATGCAGTTTGTACACTGACCATTCAAGTTATAATTGAGGTGAGATGAAGTTCAGAAACCATTTTTACTGTATTTGTTCAACTAACATTTAATCACGAAGTAAACAGTAGTAAATTGCCATTCTCTATCATTAATATATAAAAATGAGGAAGTGTTGATTTCTAATCACAACGATACATATAAAACTCAGTCAGTCTGCCAACATCTTTGTATTTTAATATTTATTCACTTTGATTTAATTAACAGATACCATTAGGCTTTGGAAATTATTAATTGTTAGATGCACTAGTAATCGCTGTTCAACAAGTGTTATATATAATTTCAGTCATTCTAGTGATGAAAGATTCAAAACCATCACCTTTTGGTGTTATCCAACATTAAGTTGGCTGGTATGTAGGAATATGTGAATGAGTGCGCTCAATATTCATCCTTAATAAAACTAATAATATTTAACTGAAAGAAACAGGGAATGAGATTTAAAGCAAAACAAAGTGCAACCAAGCTTTCAGTATACTTCAAAATATGCTGCTAAAGTAATCTGAACAATGCAACTTCAACATACTTAGTTAGCCTGAGTAAATATAGTTTGATCAAATGTCTAATAGGTGCCTGTTTTATTGTACATTTTGATGTACGAAATTTCACTCTACTCGTGTTGGCAATATGAGTAAGACAATGAACAAAGATGAAAAATTAACATTATTGTATTTAGCTACTTTTTTGCATCATAATGTACAGCAGTAATTCACTAACTAGTAGTTACCATGGTATCTAGACAAATGAATAGATGTATATCATCAAAAGTAAGTAGAACGTTATTGTTTTACCCAAACGACATGTTACTAAGGTATTTGGGTAGAACATAATGTAAATATTCATATTTAGCTTCTTGAAGGGCATATATAAAGCATCATTATGTACTTAAAAACATACAGATCCGTGCTAACTGATTATTTGCTCGGGAAAATTCTATTTAAAAAAGTCTGATTTAAAACTGCTTCATGTTTAGAAAGGGGGATAAGAATGATAACTTCAAAGTGATAAAACACCCTAACCAGTAGGAATACACATTATACACTGACAATCACTAGTGTACATTTTCTTTGCAAAACTCACAAGAATAGAAACTTTTATTAAAAACAACTCAGAATGGCGTTTCATAGATTCCTCAGTGAAATGATAAAACTTATTATAGAATTTCTTCAGTTTGAAAATGGTCATAGGAGGACTATGACATGGGTTCGGTTAAGTTGGTTGTTATAAACAGGGATAATTAATGACTACTAAGTCGTCGAAGGGTTCGAATCCTAAATTTCCTAGTTGTTATCTTAAGGCTTTGTTGACTTAGCATTGTTAGCAAGTGTTAATCAGGTCTCCATTTTAATGTTCTGAAAAGGTAACATAAATGCAAGACTAAAACGTCAGGAAAATAGATAATAATAAAAAATAGGCTGTGGAATGCCTTGGTACAATGTGACATTACGTTTCATAAAGTTTATATTTCGTTGTCCGTTTCACACGATTTAAAATTGTTTTTGTAAAAACCAGACATCCTTATAAGGTGAAAACAAGTAAAAGCTATTAGTTTCCAGTGCAATCTGCCCAACTCTTGATTTGATAAATGTATAGAGATGTAAGTAAATAACTAAAAATATTAATTCACCACCTGAACATATGCATAAACAGAATGCAGTGTATATGAGAGTATTCTTCAAAGTAGTTATGAGTTATATCAGACAACTTCAGCATTCTGTAGTTCACTTAGGAACAGAAATGTCAAAAGGTGACAATCAAAGTATAATCAAAAAGGGTACTTGATGTGAAAAAAGATATGCATTCATGCAATACCAATGAGTGATAAAATATCCAAACACTCCGCATTTGCTAGATGTGCAGCTGTTCAACGGACTGATAAACACAACCAAAAAAATAATTAGTTCTTGACAGATAACATACCATGCATAAGTGGTTTTACAACGCTGTAATTGTTGCATGGAAATTTCACCAACAACAACAGCACTCAAAATTACATGATAGTATACAGGGTGGATAGATTTATTGGCTTTTTTATCACTCTGAAGAGCACTAACCAACCAAACAAAAATCAATTTGATGGATCATTACATTTTCACTAATTACATTTTAAAAGTTTCCAACCTACCTTCCAGCCAGATCAATTAAGCAAAGTTTGCTGTTTACAGTTCGTGGGAAATCAATGCCAGATCTTATCTAAAAAGAAAATACTTAGGTGTATAGGTTACTTCTGAAAAAATGGGTTCTGAAGGTAAATATCATCATCACATTCCAATACATGGAACATATCTGGGTTACTAAAAACTAATGTGCGTCAACATAATGAAGAACCTCGCCTGGTTAACTAGTTCACTAGTTACTAGCCCATCCTAAGCCCGGGTAAAGGGGGAATGTTGGGCATAGGGCTAGCAACCCTACCCCAAAAACCCAGTCCCAACGCTAAACAAACTTCAAAGCACAGAACAAAATAAATAAAAAAAAACAAACTTGTTCCTCGCTGGAATTGGAGAGACGAAATGACGCCGGTTGGTGTAAGACATCGGGAAGCCAATTAGCTGATGTGTCTTCTCTTCTCTCGATGAAAGCAAAAGTAAGCATGGAGACATGGAATGTCCGCACTATGTTTGAAGCTGGATGGCAACGCTGCTCAGATTGCAAAGGAGAATGACAAGGTATCACATTGAAGTTTTAGGAATGAGCAATAGCAGATGGAATGGAAGTGGACTCTCCAAACTGTCAACTGGAGAATCAATAATCTACTCCACCATTGTCACCCAGACGACAACCACAAGCACACTGATGGAGTGGCTATCATGATTTACCCAAGAACAACGAAGGCTCTCATGCAGTGGGAACCAATCTCCTCCTGCAGGATCAAGATCATGACAGTAAGGTTCAGCTCAAAAGGAAGGAAAGTCACAATCATTCAATGCTACGCTACGCACCTACAAATAATGCAGAGCAACAGGAGAGGGAGGAATTCTACAGACAACTGCAATCAACACTAGACAAGACCTCACTCCAGTTGGCGACATCAAAGCTCATTCTGATGGGCAACATGAATGCCAAACTGCGTGGAGTGGACAACACACGAAGAGAACTAACCATGGGTCGAGAAGCGATAGGTGAAATGATGAATAAGAATGGAGAATTGTTTGCAGATTTCTGTGCATTCAACGATCTGGTGATTGAAGGTACTGTATTCAAACACAAGGATATCCACAAAGCGACATGGATTTCACCAAACACCAGGACACATTAAAACTCAGATCGACTTCATCTCAATGTGAAGAAAATGGAGTTGGAGATGCAGTCTACTTGACACAAGATCAGATGAGGAAGGGGAGCAGATGTAAGTTTAGACCACTATCTAGTGTAAGGAACCTACCTACAAAATCAAGTTGAAAGCCTTCAATTCAAGGAAGTTGATGATGATAGACCACAGTTGAAGTTCAACACTCAGAACAGAAACTGCACTGAAGGACGGAAATACAGAGGATATCTTCACGTCGGTCAGCCATCAAGACAAAATGGGAGATATCGAGGAACATGCCTGAAGAAACCTATGTGGAAGAACACTGGAACCCTTTGAAAGCTGTGTGGAAAGAAACATGCAAAACAGTATTAGGAAGGAAGAAGAAAGAAGACAAGGAATGGATCTTGACGGATACCTGGAAGCTGATAGAGGAGAGGAGGATGGTGAAGCAGAAGATAAACCAGTGCAAGGACGCTCAACGACAAGAGGAACTGAGCACAATGTATAAAACACTGAACAAAGAAGTAAAGAAGAGTGCACGGAAAGACAAAAGACACTTCTACGAAACACTGGCAAGTGAAGCGGAACAGGCTGCAGGTAAGAGAGACTTGACAACATTGTATCAAATAACCAGGTTACTACTATCTGGAAGGGGAGAGATCAACACAGATGAAACCAATAAAAGATGATGAAGGAAGTTTAATTACGAAAGAGAATCAATGGAAATGATGGACTGACCACTTAAGGAAGCTCTTGAATGGACCACCACCTGCACTTCGTCCAGAAATAGCACGAGCAGGGCAGCCACAGAACTACAAGTGAACACAAACCCTCCAACAAAAGTCGAAGTTCTGAGTGACATAAAACTACTGAAATGCGGGAAAGCAGAAGGACCAGATGGAATTCTGCCAGAAGCACTGACAGTGGACACAGAGGCAACAGCGGACATGCTCACACCACTATTGCAGAAGGTTTTGAAGGAGTCAAGGAAGGAAATGTACCTGCCAGTTGGTTGGAAGAAGGTCTACCTTGTCAAACTCCAAAACAAGAGAGACCCATGTCTTTGCATGAACTGGTGCGGAATCACGCTCCTGTCCACCCAGAGCAAACAAGATATTAAGCCACATCATGCTGGAGAGACTAAAGGATGCACTGGATTCAAAACTACGACCGAAACAGGCAGGCTTCACGAAGTACAAATCATGTGTGGACCAAACTGCAACGCTTCGCATCATCATACAACAGAGTATAGAATGCCTGCCAACACTCTACCTCAAATTCATCGACTTTGAGAAGGCCTTCGACAGCGTCGACTGACAAGTAATTCGGCAGGCAGCTGCTTCAACACTACGGAATACCCTAAACCTTTGTCAACCTCATTCAACAACACTTATATGAAGATGCCACATGCCAGCCAAGTAATTCACAATGGGAAGCTCAGTGATGGTTTTGAAGTGAAGACAGGAGTAAGACAAGGTTGCCATCTACTATCACCCATGATATTCCTGATTGTGGTTGACTCAACTGGACTGGATCATGCAACAAACAGTGAGGAGCTGTGAGAAGAGGGGGATACGGAGGACTGATGACAAGAGCCTAGTAGATTTAGATTTCGCCGATGACTTGTGTCTGATGTCACACAAACTTGAAGACCTACAGGCGAAAACTAACAAGTTGACAGAAGAGGCGAGGCAAGGCAGCAAAGACAGGACTTCAAGTGAATATAGAGAAGACAGAGGTGATGATGTTACACAACCAACAACAAGCTCCAATCACCATGAACGGGAGAAACTTAAAGGAAGTAGCCTCTTTCACCTATCTAGGCAGCACTGTTTCAACTACTGGCGGCACACACGAACACGTCAAAGCCAGTCAGAATCAGAAAAGCAAGACAGGCATTCATTAGCCTGAAACCAGTGTGGAGATCTTCTGCACTCAGCATGTGGAACATGATACGGATTTTCAACACCAACGTCAAGTGAATGCTTCTGTATGGCTCAGAGACTTGGCGCGTTATGAAAGGGATTTCAAACAAACTACACACATTCATCAACAACTCCCTACGTTGGCTCGTTACTGAAGCTCAAATGGCCAGAATACTGAGAATAAACAACAAAGAACTCTGGCTGGGTAACGAACCAACCAAGAATCTATCGCTGAACAAATATGCACTGGAAGGAAGTGGAGATGGATTGGGCATACACTGAGACAGCCGACTGAGGACATCATGCGCCAGGTCGTCTAGTGGAACCCAAAGGGGGAACGACGGGTTGGGTGTCCGAGGGTGACATAGAGGAGATCGTGCGAGAAGGAAATGAGAGCTTCTGGGCTGTTGTGGAGGCAGGTTCAAAAGATTGCAGAGACGACAATGGAATGGAGACGTGCTACTGAAGCCGTATTTTCCACTAGGAACCCAAAGGACAAATAATAAACATAATGAAGAAGTGGCTGAACTTCGTTTGAATTAGCCACATCTACATGACTTCAAATGATCAGATGAAGAATCCTATTCTATTGAAAAACACTTACTACTTTCACATATTTGCACACTTCTTGTACAGCATTATAATTAGAAAAACAGCATGTTCCATTTTTATGAAGTTGAATATATGCAGCGAGAATTTGTTCATTACATTTATGAGGAAAATTTTACCCAACAATGATAAAGCTCTGAATACTAAAATTTTGTTAAATTATTACCCGTCTAAAATCTATGGGGATGTCTCATTCCAGCTAATGGGCACAAATTATTAATCTGCAGTAAGAGATGACTTGCAAAAAGTCTGGGTTGCTCTAGACTATTATTTTTATGGTGTGGAATTAAGCATCATGAAAATTATTGACTTCAATTTACAGGCTAGTTCGATTACTACGTTTCTGTGAAAACTTTACTTGTCCATGCAAAACAATATTTTGATCATTACAAACTGAAACGTCAAATTATTCCGTCAGTTATTTTCATATATAGTTTTTTTTGACGTCGTTTCTTTCTTATTTAAATCAGTAATTTGATAGTTATTCCTAAGTTGCCTCTTCGTCTGTCATTGAATAATACGACTAAGTTGTCATGTATTTCTTTCACCAAACGGAAATTCTTAGAACAACACACGAAATCAACAGTCACTACAGTAAGTTCCGTCATTTCCACCAAATAGTGATGTAAGGCATCATGTGAACAGTCACAGAACCGATATGGTTTATATCAGTACAAATATTCCCAGTAAACTGAGACAATTTCAATTAAATATATTACGTAAAAACGTATTAGTAATGGGTGTAAGTTAAGACAGCAGAATCCCATTTTCAAATGGTTGATTCTCATTAGGACCCCGTAGAATTTCAAATCAGTGCGTAGATTGATTTTAGGTTGGATTATGTAAACACTACATTTTACAGACTTACAAATGTGTGTATACTGGCCTAGCATTCAGTAGTAACATTCAAGCTGAAGTATGCCGAAATGAAAACTGTACATTTATCTGTGTATGTATCAACATTGAGAGAACGACTTACCTCTTGATAGTATACGGTACAAATCACGTGACTTCGACTGCTCTTTTCATGAATACGATTGGCAGCTATAGTTCTAAGAGAATAATCAATGAAAAAACGAAAGCAAATTAGTTGAGTCCCATAAGAATTTCTTTGAGAAAACATTGGACTTGGACATTGGACTTCTTATTGTCCATCCAAATTAGTTTCACCACATTTCACAAGTATGCAGCTGTGATAAGCCATTCAGGTTGTTGGTTCTTGTCGGTCACATACTAAGCAGTAAGTTTCGAAATGCCCAATTCAGTATGACAGTTTCAGTCAACTGTGTATTTTGTTGCTTCTGTCGTTTTCAAATTGACACTATGTGTGGTAGGTGGAGTGACTTGTGAAATTGTCTCAAAGTTAGGTATTTAGCAACAGTAAGTAGGACAGAACGCAGAAAAAAGCAAATATTTCTATAAAATTAATAGCCATTTAACAGAAGAGCTACGTGTCATTTAAAACCTAGTTTATTTAAGAGCAATCAGATGATTTCCTTTATACCGAAATCAATCCTACGCTCGTTAAATGGTATTTACAACCACACCAATACTTAAAAGTTAAACATTAACTAACAGTCTACTTTAAGTAGTATAGAATTTTCATACAAATTTCTTGACTAATGAAGGAAGTAAGCAAAAGTTTAGTTCATCGTAGCATAATTGTAGGAATAGCTATTTCCCCGAAATTATCCTTTCAAAGAATTTGAAACCTTTTTGTCTCGGTGTTTTCACAAGCAAAATCTGTGGGAACTATTGAGAAAATTATGTTTGCATCATATTCAGAAAATATTTCTCAATCACTAGTTTTTATACAAATATAGTCGCCGGTGTTTGCGATGTGACCCCAAAGCTACACCATACTGCCATGAACAATATTGTGTCTAAAATTAAGTTTTCGAATAAAACAGCTCCTAAGCTCTGTACTCATCATTTCAAGGCACAATATACCAAGAAATGTTTTTTGTGAGCATATATAGTTGCACATTTGTACAATAATGAGTTCTTGCATATGATAAGCGATATGGGTTGTGTGAATTAAAAATCAATTTTCATAGCTAAAGATACAAGTTCTATCTCTGAAACACAACTCACCATTTTGTAACCACCGAAATTAAAATGTCTATATAATCCATTGTCTATCTACAACTAAATCCGAATTTTTCGACGAGTATATATACCATGTCTCAAAGCTGGGAAATTGTTTTAATATGCTTATATAGAATAAATCGTATTTGAATCGTTATACAGTAAAAATAATATTTCATTGTGTAACAAATCTAATAAGCCACGTTAGATATTACTGCAATCTATAACATAGTCCGTGTTTGACAATTATATACCACTGGTACTGGAATGAAACAGCAATGTGAAATATTAAACTTGTTTTTATTCAAAATTAGTCACATACACAGTAGGCTAAGCAGTCACAAATAGCTCTAGGATAACGGAAGTACTTATTTTACCAAGAACAATAAAGTCCTGTCAACTGAAGTGAAAGTTAAGTAGCAGATATCGATGAAACAGAACAACGCAAACCCTTGTCTATTAACTAAGGAATGAATTAAAACATTCAGTTTCAGATATATGGAAACTGAATGCATGCTTACTACGAACTAATGAAATAATTCTTTACTTGTTCAAAAAATTGCAAAACTTCAGAATCAGACTCAAATTGCACTTTTAATGAGCAGTACAGTACCTTAATTTGCTCAGCCTCAATCATATCCCAAAGTTTGTGCCTGAAGTTGTCAATTGAATTGTATTATTGGAATCCCAATGTGCAATGCTGCACCTTTTTAGATTGACTAGCTAACTGGGTGCATAAAGTTTTTGGGATTTGAAGAAAAGGCAAAAAGTGCTTCACAGTAAACTTAAAAATCTGTTTTTACCGTATTGAATAACATTTTGCTGTATGTTCCGTATTAAATTCGTCTATTTGATTGATAACACACAGTGATATAGTATTATTTACCTGATGACGTTTCAAGCATAAAGTAAATAATACTATATCACTATGTGTTATAAATCAAATAGACAAATCTAATATGGAATTAAATTCTACCACAGTGCCCATGTTTTACACCTATATTTTGTTGTAAGAGTTTCTGGAATTTGAAAACAAATACAATACATCGGTTGCATTAAAGTCTTAAATTTGGTTTGATGATTGAAAGAGAAAGTGAAGCCTGGGTTGCGAAATGATTCAAACTAATGGCCTCCAGGTTACCTGTCTGGATCTCTAACAACTGGGCTGCAGAGCCCAGCCGGTAGTTAGGTCTTAACTTCACCTCAATCATCAAAAGTTCTGGCTAAGTTCATCTAATTATTATCTATGCTATTCAATAAGCAATAATATATTTGATGTCGGATAAGTGCGCTGGCGTAAATGAAACTCATTCAAAATCCTCAAAAATGACTTTCAAGGAAACTTCTTTTAGTCTACAATAAAGCCCATGATACCGTCATTGCAGCTTATGAAGTTATCATTAAACAACACTGAGTGGCTTTAGTTCCAGGTTAGGAAAAATCATCCTTCTTTTAACAAACACACTTTATTAAACATTCAGTAAGGATAAAAGAAAGTTTCTTGTCGACCAACTGTCCTTAATGGAGCAATACTTTTATGTTTTTTATCACTAAACTTAATGTTTACATTTAAATCCTAAGCTGAAAGACGTCAGCAGCTCTCATTGCAACGTGAATGGCTACTGCCACTTCTCATTCACTTTAGGTATGTGGTTTGAATTATGTTTATCCCTGAAAAATTAAATCTCAATATGAGCTATCTTCCATTAATTTTCTCTACTTATATGTCTTAAGGTTGTTGATAGCATTTTGTACGAAATGAGAAACCTGTGTATTATGTTTGTCGGGTCTCGTCAGCAAGATGCACTCGCATTTTTGAGAAAACTTATGTTTCAGTGATCAAAATTCGCATTAATTAGTTTTGTTGTCGAATATATTGTGTTTAAGCCTTTAAACATGTAATTCCATGGAATCTAGGATCAAACATTTTCTTTTCATTGCTAAAAATTGTTTACCTCCCATCAAAATGTGTAATGATGGCTGATCTTCTAATTTTGTGACCACATCAAAAAATTTTTGCAGGAATTAAGTTGCCCGGTCTGTAGGGAATAACTAGTAGCCTTGCGTTCATGATGACTACTAGAATTCTGCAGAAACCTTATCATTCACATTCTGAGGTAGTGAACTAGAAAAATTCTACTTATCGTAAAGAAAGTAATGTGAATTCATGCACAGACCAGAGATGATGTTTGAGGCTAATAAATCAATATATACATATACATATATAAAGCTCAAGTTTCTGTTTAGACCCTTATTGTTTTATGCTGAGTAAATGCATATCAACACTGGAGAACACTTACCTATTTTTAATACTTTGATTGATAGCAGTATGTAGAATTTTTGAATCATTCAGAGGTAATTTTGTTAAACCTGTAAGATAAAATCGAAAGAAATTTGCAAATCACTGACCAATGACGACACAAATATCTACATCAGTGGTTTCACCCTATGATTTCACGCATAAAATCTCATCAACAGAATCCAGCTCGAACTCATCATCAAAAATTTGTTAGCTATTTCCGTATTTGTCACAGTTTTTAAAATGTTGTAGGTTGTAAAAAGATGGTGCTTCATTTTCTATATGACTTCACAAAAGCCTATTTTGAAATAAATTTAATATGACTAAAAACAAATAGTCAATTCATATGATGGCATTTTATTTCCTGATGCCTACTAACAGAAATTCACTGATCCATAATCCTGAGGTAGTAAGGATAAAACAATACATTCAAAGTTTACAAAAACTGTCCGAATAGTCAGCCTGGGACTTACAATTTTGACTTCATGAAACATGAATACAGGGGTATTTCATGCTTATCGACCTGGTTTAAAGAAGCCTTTTCCCACATGATCAGGTTAAATAATAACCGCTTAATAGCTTGATCGTTTTTAAGTTTTTGTTTCAAAAATTTATTCGTCATCAAAAGTATAAGTTTGTACTGTGTGAACTCGAACAATAGGGAATAAGAATGCAGGTTTGCATCCTGCTGTTTAGTATGAAGATTATTAACTGAGTGAAGATAAGACACAAATGTTATTGAGATCAAAGATAACTTTTAATTAATGTACAGTATTTTACTTCTGTCAGTTTTGACTATAACTTATTCTGCACGAAAATGGTTAACTTCATATATGCATCTACATTATGCTCCAGTTTTTGATCCATATCTACATTCTAGTCCACTCGTCTATGATTCTAAGATCTATCCATTTTTAGAGGACATATTTAGTGTGAAACTAACCACTAAGCAACCCGAATTTCAGTTTGGAAATTATTTAAAGACTGCATATTTCACGTTAAAAATTTCTGACAACTCAGTATTTTTTTCACATAACCAGCTATTGTATGGGAAAGGTTTCAATCAGAAAGCAATCAGTGAGAAAAATAAAAGTCAATTTCTAATATATAAGTGTCATAAAGTAAAGAAATATGCTACTAATGACTACAAGTAATGGACGAGACTCAGATCCCAATAATGACCTGTGTGTAATTTAGTAACAAATTTTGTTACATGTTTAGTTGCACACTACTGACTTATCTGTCATGCATCAGTAGTTTCAGTATTCTGACCACTTTATTCAAACTAATATCAGGTATTTTCCCATCATAATGATGAAAAGTGTCCTGAAGTTTTTCACTTGAAACACATCATTGAAGTGTAATTCTCATGGCAATCATAAGTGTTTTATAGAATTTTAGTGACACTGGGAGGTGAGTTACTATCAACTTTCGAATCCTAGTGCTTTAATCCGAAACTAAAAGTCTTATGAACTGAAGATGATGATGTTTTCACCTTATATTTCCCCATCTTTTCGAGCTGATTGCGATAAAAACACAGTAGTTTTCCTCATAACGATAAATGGATAGGGTATAAATCGATTGACTCCAATATTGATTGTTGGATAAAATAACTAAATCAATTTGCAATTAATGAGGTGAAAATCTCAGTTTCCGTTCATGATTTCTGTCCATCATAATAAAGTATAAACAGTAAAGTCATTTAATTAAAAAATAATGTTCTGCAAGGCTGTTTTTTGCAAAGTTGACAAAAATTAGCATTCTTATAGTCCTTATATAGTTACACTTGATTTAAAAGAAATATGTTTATCATCCATTACAAAATGACAATTCGGTGAATAATAAAATAACCGGTAACTACTTAGACAGTTTAGTATTCATATAAACTCATAAAAGAGGATCAAATGTAACTTCTAAAATAGCCTTACTTAAGACTTCAGAAGGGAACAAAGTTAGGGTTTCTGAACTGTTAAGCACGAATTATCTTGAGTTTTAGGAGTGAATTATCTGTTTCGATACACTATCTCTTCCTGTCCACAGTTACATGCAACAAATAACGAGTGTAAAGCTAACCAACAACTAATCAGACTGTTCATTCAAACACCATTTTTTGTTAGATAAATCGCCTTGTAAAATAGAAATCTTCAACATTGTATAATCTGCTGAATATGACAAAAATAGCTCAGAGATTATACAGTCAAACAGCTAAAACAAAACACTCATATCCTACATATAATTCAAAAATCTATCTCTTGGGTGCAAAAATGATTGTTCAACTTTAAACTGCCGACTGCCAAATAAAATCACTTGATCAGTTGTTTGGATGCACTACAGAGTATCATCATTTCAATAGTCTGTTGTCTGAAAGTCTTCCGGTTTATAAACAAGTACTTTTTCATGCTGGAAACTAAGAAACGCAGCTTTCTCTTAGGCATTGAAAAAAGACAATAATGAAAAAAAAAACTAGATAGTTTGCGGTCCTGAAAAGAAGCTGGGAAAAAATAGAGTAGATTTGTGCAAATCACACTTCAAATGTGTCGGAGATTGAAAAAGAATGCCTTTTGTTAACTATGCAATAAAATTGAAGTATATATGGCTCACAGAAGATGAAATGTAAATATGTGAATAAGGATATATATAGACTATTTGTCTGTTTGTATATATGACTAAAGTAAAATAAAAAAATAGTCAACATGAATCACTAGTCGAATACAAGCAATTGCTTCTATTAGAACTGATAAGCTTCTTAAAATTCTGCAAATACGTCACTCCTATCCTTTTTGAAACATTCTCCCTAAAGAAACATTTAATGTTCCTAGTCGACTAACCTACAATGGATTTTTATCATACAAATGCACTAGCTAGTGTAAAAACTCCTATGTTTATCATGAAGAGATGAAGGGAGCTGTGTGATTATTGTTATTTCCGTTTCCCTACACAAGGTCAAGTCGTTCGATCTCTGTTTTTCAAATAGGCTTCTATGCTAATTTGCTGGACTTCACTGCTGATCGCTGAGATGAATATAACATCATGAATACTTGGCAATATCGAGGTATCCACATAGAAGCCCGTTCGGAAACAGAGATTGATCAATTTGACTTTGTGTAGGAAAGAGGGAATTACAAGTATCAAACAATAAGTGTTATCCATTGCACAAGAGGTGGTTCTCTAGCCTCAGTCGTCTAGTTTACAACCCTTTGGCATTTGAAGCGATGTTTACTGGGCTTCAGTTTCAGTGAGAACAACATCATAAACTGAGGTGCAGGTACATCCAGTTTGTGAGTCCCAAGTAGGACGGAATGCGAGTCCTGGATTCCGCTGTATGTCACACAGGTGAATATGGCAAGGTGAAGAGGGGATCTTATTTCCCAACTAATCAATACACGAAAAAAATTCACGATATTAGATTTCGTGAATTCGACAGAAATTTGAACGTTATCAACGTTACAAGCACAAGGATATTCACAAGTCAGCGACATGGATTTCACCAGACACCAGGACACACTAAAAATCAGATTGACTTCATTTCAATCTCAAGAAAGTGGAGACGCAGCCTACTTGACACAAGATCAGATGAAGAAGGGGAGCAGATGTAAGTTGGGATCACTATCTAGTGTAAGAAACCTACCTTCAAAATCAAATGGAAAGCCTTCAAATAAGTTGGTGATTGACCACAGTTGAAGTTCGACACCTGGAACAGAAACTGAAGGACGAAACTACAAAGGACATCACGTCAACAATAGGAGAAACGTAGGAGACATTAGACAGCATCCCTGAAGAAACCTGGATAGAACAACACTGGAACTCTGTGAAAGAGACGTGAAAGAAAACCTGCATAACCGTATTAGGAAGGAAGAAGAAACTCCAAGCCGAGGAATGGATCTAGATGGAAACATGGAAACTGATAGAGAGGAGGAAGTTGGGGAAGCAGGAGATGAACCAGTGCAGTGATGAACTACGAAGTGAGAAACTGAGTACAACCTATAATACACTAAACAAAGAAGTGAAGAAGAGTGCATGGAAAGACAAAAGACACTCTTACTACACACTTGCAAGTGAGGCAAAAAAGGCCGCAGGTAGGAGAGATAGAGACCAGACAACACTATATCAAATAACCAGATTACTATCTGGGAGGGAAGAGATCAACGCAGATGAAACTAACGAGAGATAGTGAAGGAAACTTAGTTACCGAAGAGCAGAAACAAAGGAGACGATGGGTTGATCACTTCAAATAACTCTTGAATAAAAGCCAGGATTGGAAAGACAGCAAGACAGGCCTTCATTAATCTGAAATCAGTCTGGAGACCTATTGCACTGCACTGCACTCACCATAAAGAACAAGATCCGGATTTTCAACACTAAGTCAGTCAATTCAGTGCTAATATCTGGTGGTTCAGAGACTTGGCGCGTTACGAAGAGAATTTCCAACAAACTAAAGACATTCATCAATAGCTGCCGCCTACGCTCGCTCGATATTGAAAATCAGATGGCCAGGAGGAATAAGCAACAAGAAACTCACTCTGGTGACGAACCAACTAAGAACCTGTCGTCTAAAAAATACTCAGAAGGAAGTAGAGATGGATTGGGGACACCATGCACCAGGCCAGACCGTTCAGTGGAACCCAAAGGGGAAACGACAGTTTGGGCATCCGAGGGTGATATGGAGGTCGTATGAGAGAGAAATGAAGGCTTTTGGGCAGTCGTGGAGTCAGGTTCAAGAGAATGCGGAGAAGAGAGTGAAGTGGTGACGTGGTACTGAAGTCCTATGTTCCACTAGGAACCCAAGGGACAAGTAATACCAATACATTTTTTTTAACAGCATCAGTAACTTTTAACCAAGGTCTAACAACCATAGTACGACGTCATTTATATCTACATGTACCCGAAAGATGTGATAAGGTGACAGAAATACCATATACCAAGGAAGTGCACTAGTATTATCACGATCTAATTTCTTGCATGATATAGAAAATACTTCTTTTCCGAAAGAAAGACTTAGACATTCTCAGGCCACAGAAAAACAACTACTCTCTTTTTAAAGAAAATGATCGCTGTGGATAAGTACTTTAGCTATTGACAGAAGATTAATTTGTTCCGAAAAACCGAGGAAACCAGAGGTTAATTACACCAATCTAACCGCATATTTAAGGAAAGTACAGTTAATGCAATCTGCCCCGGAGTTGGAAATAAAAATCTGAAGTCACTGAAGAAATATTACACAGACCCAAGCATTTCAAATTTGATCTAATTGATTTCTTTGTAAACCCATTACCCATATTGTTTACCACAGTAAATACACATATACTGAATAATGAGTATCATTAATTTCTCCTGTCTCTTTCTATGGAGGAATAGAACTGATCATTTTAATGCAAGAAGTTAACTGCACTTCAAATGCCTGCATTGAACAATTTTGAAATGAAGAAGTCAGTAAAATAAAGTGATCACTATGAAAAGGATGGCATTAAAATAGATTAGAATCCACCAAACAAAGTGCATGCACAGAAAAAATATTACCTTCAACATACGGTCCGTCGTCAGGATGTTCACGTATACGTAGAGATGAATGATGATTTGAGTTGGTTAACAGATCATGAATTTTTTCATTGTATATTTCCACAAAACTGCGTTTGGAAGAAAAAGTAGAATATTGACAAGTAAAGTCATCAGAATGAGTAGCGAAGGAACAGGATAAAACAAACCAAATCTTAAGTTGTTTTCCATTGTTAACCTACATTATTTGAAGCTGGAATTATTGGAGAGTGTTTATAGACTGTTTTGATCTGTTTTATGAATCCAAAACCTACAAATCTTTCATTGGGTCGAGGGTTTTTTGAAAAACTCCGTTTGCTATTTTCTGTCAACACTAACAACCACCACTAATGACATCAAGAAGTAGAAAACCCATCTTTGCCCAAACTGATTTCCAAAAGCAAAGAAACATTTTACGACTGGTAAACCAAAAAAAAGGGAAACCCGTCCATTTAATATTTGAATAAAATTAATAGTCAGAGACATTCGTGGATTGAAATCTGAACCGGAATGCAAACCACTAAGCATTAAACTTCGTAGAGATTATTTAGGCAAGTTGAAACTTAACATTTTGCTGGAAGCACAAGATAAAGTCATTAAATGCCTAACAAACGAAGCCTGTTGGACGTTTGTCTGTCCTGAGCACTTACATGAACGGTTCAGTAGTAACCAAATGTGAAAAAACTGTGCCTCTGTTTACTACTAAGGTGTACACATACCAGTTTAATATGATATTGTATGTGTATTGTTTAAATAATATTGTATATATAAAAGTCGGGAAAGGTCTACTAGATAAATTGTGTTACATTCCTAACAAAAACTCCACCATTTTCCATTCAAGTCCAAGGGAGATAGACAAATCCTTTTATGACACAACATTTAGTTCTTATTTTCATCAGATTTGTTCTATATACTCTGCAGAATAAAAAACAATATTTTGGAAAGTGTAAAGAAACGGGATATTTTTGCCTCTGACTCACTAACGATAGGAAAAAGCCATGCATCTTTTAGAAACAAATACTTTTTATGTCATATCACCACGAACATTTGAAAACAACTAACGCTCCCAATACTTCTGTCAATATCCTCTTTTACTTAGAAACCCTAGACTTTTTTGCACATTCGTGATTGCATGATTTTTACACATGGTTATCACACCAGTGGGACATTTTTGCTTTGCTTCATGAGTATTCTTCAGTTTGCAACAATTTTAGACTCAAACTAAAGGAAATTAGTACTGTTGATAAAGTTTGTATAAACGTATTGCAATTACTTGTCATTTCTTACACTATCTTCCCTTAATAAACTCGAATAATGCAATCAGAACACCATGTGTAGAATAAAATGAAATCATTTTGCTTCACATAATTTCCACCAGCTGCATACAGCTTGAAAAAACAAGTAAATAATCACGGTAACAAAAATTAACATATACCCTATGTATGTTGTTAACCTATTTTGAACTAAAGTTTGTAGTATTCTTGTTGATTTCCAGTACAGTAACCAACAACAGTGAATATTAATCTTTTTATTCCCTTTGCATGCAGCTGGTAAATAACCTTAAAAATAAAATGACTTCATTTGATCCTACAAATGTTTTATTGGGTAATCCAAATCAATCGGCAGTTATTATTTTTTTTATTTGTCCTTTGGGTTCCTAGTGGAAAATAGGGCTTCAGTAGCACGTCTCCATTCCATTCTCTTCTCTGCAATCTTTTCAACCTGGCTCCACGACTGCCCAGAAGCTCTCATTTCCTCCTCGCACGATCTCCTCTATGTCACCCTCGGACGCCCAACTCGTCTCTTACCATCTGGCTTCCACTTGAGTGCCTGGCGCATGATGTCCACAGTCGGCCCTCTCAGTGTATGCCCAATCCATCTCCAATTCCTTCCAGTGCATATTTGTTCAGCGATAGGTTCCTGGTTGGTTCGTTGCAAGGCCAGAGTTCCTTGTTGTTTACTCCTACTATTCTGGCCATCTGAGCTTCAGTAACGAGCCAGTGTAGGCAGTTGTTGATGAATGTGTGTATTTTATTGGAAATCCCTTTCATAACGAGCCGAGTTTTTGAACCATAAAGGAGCACTGACTTGACGTTGGTGTTGAAAATTCGCATCTTGTTCCACATGCTGAGTGCAGAAGATCTCCACACTGGTTTCAGGCTAATGAACGCCTGTCTTGCTTTTCTGATTCTGGCTGGCTTTGACATGTTTGTGTGTGCCTCCTGTAGTTGAAACAGTGCTGCCTATATAGTTATGCTTAGATGTAATTGTGCTGATTTCGTAGGAAACAAATTTGTTTTAGTGAGCTCACTTATCCCTTATGGATAATAGGGGATGGTTCAGTTTTATTTTAACATATGAGCATTAGTTGAGTGACACAGATAGAGAGATGGAACAACTCCAGGGAACAGCATGAAACTAGCATTCACATTGAGCAGGATTTCGGGCATAGTTTGACATTTGCAAGCTCTGTATCCGAATTTTATCTTAACTCATAACTATCAAAATCCCAAAGAGGCTCGGAAATTATAGTGCCGCATTCACTATAACAAGATATACAGTATTCTCAATTATAGCTTTGAAAGATGTAAACAAATTTACACTAATGATCTTTAGATTCGCATCCCTGTGCATTATGAAATTAGCAAAGAAACGTTGTGGTTCAATATGGCAAAATAGATTTAGGGTCCACCCAGCTCCCATACCTGACTACGAAATATACTGACGACAACCGCACTACTTCATCTGCGTCGCTTTAAATAAGGAGATGAAATCAGTAGATTTCACAACTGAGTTCATATCTTTTCAAAATAGGTTTGTGACCACATGTCAGATCGTTCAACCAGCTACAAAAAACAGTTAAAATTGTTTTATGAAGCTAATAATGGTAGGTTCCTTACTACATATAAATTCCAACTGCATAATGGACTGATTTACCTTGAAAATCCATAATGATGAATTCAGATTATTAAAACAAAAGGTTATTTTAATTTCCTCATTGTCTATATTTTTTTCAGTGTGCGTTAACTGAAGGTTTTACTAATAAGTCCGAAAGTGCGATTTGACAGAATAAACGTTGTGCTGAAAAACTCCATCCATATTCTCTAAGAAACATCCCTAAAAGATTAATTACATTTGAGTGGTTCCTGAAGTTTCAATGAGAATTCGTGACCAATGGAGTCAACCAAGTCAAACACGAAGACAGTTACTCAACGATGACATTAGATGGAGGTCACGCTATATCGTAAACTGATAGAAGTAGATAATATGAACCACTGGATTCCAACCCAGTTGCTCGATGATAACGAGCTGGTCACGGAATCTGAAGGCCTTCGATTCGATCTCTGGTGGGGTCATGGGTGCGCACTGTTTAAGAGAGCTGTACTGGAACAAAACAGCTGTCCGGTGTTCTCAGGTTTCCAAAGTTCCACAAACCGATATTGGTTCATGACGAATAAAAACTTGGGATTAATAACTACCACCAATACTTCGCATTAAGATTGAGATATTTCCTAGTGTAATCTTACTCTCATTTACTGAAATACTAACAAAGATAAAATGAAATAACTACTAAATTCAGTCAATGTTTTCCAGGTACTTTTTAAAATCTATTCATCCATAAAGTAGTTTTTTGACAGAAAATGTGTTAGAATTATTAACGTTTCCACAAATGAATTCACTGTCTCCGGTTTAAGTTGACTATTATTTCAATTAGAATGAGATTTATGCAATGCAATCATAGAGTGGCCTTAATCAGATTTCATAAGCTTGTTTAGGTAAGCATATATAAAATATTTTTCTCTGTACAACTTGCATATAAAGGGTATTATGATGCCAAATGTGAAACAGTCTCAAACATATTCTTACTAACCGTATCAACTATGTAAATAAAATAAATCACCATCAGTACTCAGATAAATCCCGGTTTCACTTCAGCCAATGTCTGTTAGGCATTGCTTTCATGGGAATAAGTCTATCAAAAGGAGGCAGTTTAAATGCCTGACAGAAGTCAAAACGTAACGCAATGATAAGTCATGGCTTGGTGACTTCATTTAAAAATGGCAGACAAAATTTGGCTAGGCCGTAGGATGATATAACATGAGGGTCAGTTACACCCCACTGACCAATCAGTGTATTAGTAACGTGTATCAGTTACTGAATGGTAGTTTTACTTTCTACAATATGCAACAAGCTTAAACTTAGAATTACTCAAATGAAATAGAGAAAACACATTCTATCTAAGATTAACATGAATATAACACCAACTTCTTTATATGTGGTAATAGAGCTGAAATAGATTCTTTCTCACTAAGGTTTTACTAACACTGAGCAGTGTATATGGTATGATTTGCCTTGATTTGCACAGTGAATAATATACGCACTTGTTTTATCACTGTCAAACAAACCAATCGCTACCCTCTGCTAAAAATGCATTCACTACAGGGTATCGATTCTGGCATCGCACACTTGTTCTACGTTATCATTTCATTAGAATTTCAACTATAAATATACAATATTTGATCCGTGTCGAGTGTGAAGACAGTTGTCCACCGATAATGCCTAATAGTGATCAGGCTATACCATGCATATACACTACTAATACGTATTATACTAGGACAAAAAATATTTTTACTGCATATTAGCCTTCAACGACTCTCTAGCTGACTTACATCCACGATAAATAATTTCAAAACTTCGAAAACCAAACTATGCGCCAACAGCAGAAGGGCTATGAGGTATTCAGAAAAATATCTTTATGTAGCTTGTGTAATAAAGTTTCACATTTGATATATCACAAAAAGATTTATGATAAAATGGTTAAATTACTAGTTCAAAAATTTACAGAAATCAATGACAATGAAAACCAGTTCTTTAAATCTCCATAAACTTCAATATGTAGTAACTCAAGAAAACTTCCTTCACATTTCTAGAACCTAACAATGCACAAAAGCCCGTTACTTATGCAAAATAAAAATGAAATATAAAATATTAAGCCATTACTTTCCAGTTAATTCCGCACAGCTCACAGGCTTTTCAAAATATTTATGATGCATACGAAATTTTAGGCCCCTTATTTATTCACTGACTAAAG